CTCCCTCCCGTATTCTGTGTCATCTGTCACCTGGTCACTGTGGGATGTTGCTGTGGACACTCCATGGTGCTCACAGTCTAAGGTTTCAGAGTCCCGTCCCCATGGTAACAGGCCCCTCCTCTCCAAGCCCTGTCCCACCATCCAGGGAACCTGCAGAACCCTCCTGTGCTCCTAGGAGCTGGGAGACTTGCGGGTCTTTGTGACTGAGAATTCTGCGTTCAACAGGACCTGGAATGGAGATCCCTTGCCCGTATTCCCCTGTCTCCAGCAATTCAGCAGCCCAGCCCATAAGACACCCCTGGCTGGCTCCAGATAATCTCGTCATCAGCCACCATCCAGATCGCATGTCCTTCTCTCCTGGAAGTAACATGGCACATGCCATAACCATGCCGCCGGAACACTTGCCAGGCTGTTTCACCAGGGTGCCCCAGAAGGACCCAGCCCCAGCAGCCCAAAACCTCCAGAACTCATGCACTGCCATGTTCACGGTCACTTTCCACATGCTCGAACTGAGATTCACTCCCCAGTGAACCTTTTCCTGGACCACGCGACTGCAAATGCGGCCACATGATACTTCCTGGGACACAGCCAACCCATACTCCAAGTGTACAGCAACACATTTGATGGGATTCAAAGTAGGAGGCAACCAACTTTAGAGGGAAAACTATTATTTCAGTTCTGCTTTGGGGCAGGGATTTGGGTTCGGAAAGGAAGCACCCGAAAGATGGTGGTGGGTGATGGACACTCATCAAAACCTCCATTACAAACTACAACACCCTAAAGAAAAGTGAGCAAAAGGGAATGCCCTGCACAGAGGAGGGGGGGGATGGAGTGTGGGGGTGGGAGTCTACTAGGATCATTGGTGGTGATGGGCACTGGTGGAGGGATGGATACTTGATCGTTGTATAACTGAAACCCAAGCACGAAAGTGTGTAAGTCTACAACTGTACCTATGGTATTTCACTAATCATGGTCACAGTCCTCCTGTTGTTCATCAATTTGCTCGAGTGCGCCCAGTAACATCTCCATCGTGAGACTTGTTACTGTGCTTGGCATATTGAATACATCACGGGTAGCTTGCCAGGCTTTGCCGTATGGGCGAGATACTCTCGGTAGCTTGCCAGGCTCTCTGAGAGGGGCGGAGGAATTGAACCCGGCTTGGCTGGGCTGGCTACGCACAAGGCAAATGCCCTACCACTATGCTATCCCTCCAGCCCTGTTTCACTAATTAAAAAAAAAAAAGAAATACGGTAGTGGGAAGGTGTAATGGTGATGGGATTGATGTTTGAATATTAAATGTAATGAAATATTGTGAATGACTTTATAAAATAAAAAATTTTTTTTAAAAAAAGAAGCCGGGAGCCATGACCCACGCGTGAGAATCCTGTTCCACTGATGGCACTGCTCAAATCCCTCCTCAGTCACAGGACTAAGCGCAGAGGCTGCTGCGTTGTCAGCCCCAGACCTGTCTCCCTCCCCCCCAGCACTCTCCTGGGGGGAGAATACTTCTGAAATAACATATTTGCTTTTTTTTGCGGGGGGGGGTCATACCCGGCAATGCACAGGGGTCATTCCTGGCTCTGCACTCAGGAAATTACTCCTGGCAGTGCTCAGGGGACCATATGGGATGCTGGGAATCGAACTCAGGTCGGCCGCGTGCAAGGCAAACGCCCTACCTGCTGTGCTATTGCTCCAGCCCCTGAAATAACATATTTGACTTAAAAAAAATCAGATCAAAAGCAAAGAAGTGGGCCGTTGGCAGCTACCAACTGCGCCATCCGCACCCCAGGAAGACGGGCTGAAACTGAGAGTCAGGATTCCCTGGGGGTCCCCAGCCTCTGCCCTCGGACCTGCCTCTCACCCCAGCCTCCACCATCAGCAACGTGGTCCACCCCGGAGGTGCGTCCAGCCTCCTTTGAATCACGCGATCTGGGGAGCAGGCGGGTGTTCATGATAAGGAATCCTGTCATCTCAAGGTCCAAGGGACATCACAGACACGGTCACCCACTGTATGGCCCGACCCGCCTTTGCTCTCAGTCAACCTTCCCCAGAATAAACACGGCCATAAAATAGAGAGAGAAGTATCTGAAACGTCAGTGTGGTTTGCTGTTGTTGTGAAACAATTAGAGGGTTGGAAAGTGATTGCTAAATTGTTACTAATTTCTTACCAACTTACGTTGTTACTAAATTGCTTAACGTTACTTTGTTTCTCTTTTTATATACCCCCCCAAAAAGTTTCGTAAATGAGAGGAGATTCTTGGAACATTTCATGTAAATGTAACAATAGTAGTATGTTTAATGGGTACTATTGAATATAAAGTACAGAAGCACTTTCTTGGTATCTGTTAAACTAAGAATTGTTGGGGCGAAGCTTGTCTTGCATGAAGTCCACTCAGGTTTGATCCCCTGCATCCCATATGGTTCCCTGAGCCTCACCAGGAGTAATTCCTAAATTCGGAGCCAGGAATAACCCCTGAACATTATGGGTGTGAGTCCCCGAAGCAAAAATGCTTAGTAAAAATAAAGTAATATACATATGATCGGACCATTACTTGCAGTTGTCTTGAATGATCAAGAATCACGGACGCTGTCTCGTTTGCCAAAGTGTCAAAAATCAGATGGGCTGGCCACGTAATGAGATTTAAAGACGAGCGCTGGACTAGAGCTGTTACCGACTGGATTCCACGGGATGTCAAAAGACCGCGTGGCCGCCCACCTACCAGATGGTCAGACTTCTTCGTCAAGATCATGAACGATCAGTTTGAGGCCCTTCATGTTCCCGGAGCGAACAGATGCCATTGGGCTACACTAGCACGCGACAGGGACAAATGGAGACGTTACTGGCGCCCGCTCGAGCAAATCGACGACTAACGAGAAGTTAAGTGATTAAGTGATTAAGTCTTGAATGATGAGCTAAAGTAAAATTTAGCCAATTGCACCTAGTATACAGCAAATGTTTGAGGAAGAAAGCAACCATTTTTTAAAAAAATTTTTATTAGTGAGACATCATGAGATACAGTTGTAGACTTACAAATTTTTGTGCTTGGGTTTCAATTACACAATGATCAAATACCCATCCCTCCACCAGTGCCCATTTCCCACCACCACGGATCCCAGTATCCCTCCCACCCCCCATCCCTCCATCCCACCCTGCCTCTGTGGTAGGGCATTCCCCCTTGTTCTCTCTCTCTTCTTTTGGGTACTGTGTTTCGCAAGAGAGGCATTGAGTGGCAATCATGTTTGGTCTATAGTCTACTTTCAGCATGCATCTCCCATCCTGGGAGGATCCTCCCAACACCCTTTATTTGGTGCTCCCTTCTCTATCTGAGCTGCCTTTTCCCCTAGCATGTGTGGTTGGCCTCCAAGCCATGGAGTAAAATTCCTGGTACTAATCTCGGCCATTCTTGGGTGTTAGTCTCCTATTTTAGAAACCAACCATTTTTAAGAGAATAATGTTTGTGTGTTTGAAAATGGGATGGGCCATTTCTGGATTCCAAGCGCTTAATTAAAATACAGAAGTTAAGAATGTGTGGGGACTGGAGAGAGGAGTGTTGTTGGAGGGAGCACGTAGCCCACCTGAGTTCAATTCTCGGCATCCCAAACGGGTACCCTGGGCCCCCCAGGCATAATTCCTGAGTGCAGAACCAGGAACAAGCCCTGAATATCTCCAGGTGTGACCCCCCTCAAAAGAAAAGAGAGGGGATATGGTGCCACCAGCTGCCAACCTGTACCTGTGGGGTGAGTGCATCAGCAGACTGATGGTGCCCTCAGACTTCCAGACGCCCCAAAATTGCTGCTGTGCCTTTGGCTAGACCCCAACAATCCGGGGTGAAGTTTTTTTAAAAATTTTTATTAGTGAAACACTATGAGGTACAGTTGTAGACTTACAAACTTTTGTGCTTGGGTTTCAGTTGTACAATGATCGAGTACCCATCCCTTCACCAGTGCCCATTCTCCACCACCAATGATCCCAGTATCCTTCCTCTCCCAACCCCCATCCCACCCTGCCTCTGTGGCAGGGCATTCGCCGGGGCCAAGTTTACCAAGAAATTAAACAGCCAAAGTTAGGTATGTGGGAGAAACACCCACAAACCACCTCCAACTCAGCTAGATAAGCTCACTTATTGGCCTTATTTAAGAGACCCATAAATCTCAAAAGAGATCAAAAGACACATTTAGGGCCTGTAGCAGGGAGGTAGGCAGGAACCCGTGACTGAGAGCTCCAGGCCGGCTTGGATCAGGACTGGGCACTCCTCTGCCCAGGTCCCCAGTTTTCTGGCAGCTTGGCAGTCACACCCACAAACTGCCCCCTGTGCCATATAATCTCATCAATGGCCAAGACCCAGAGACTATAAACTAAAGCTCCCGGAAGAGAACGACACAGAATCTCCTGGACATTATATTCTACCCATAACAAGCAATACAAAACAAATCATCAATACAAAACAAATCGCCTTTTCAGTAGGTTTGAGCGGTGGTGAGACTAGTGTCGAAATATTGAATGTTACTAAAGTAGAGAGAGTATGGGGGAAATTGTCTGCCACACAGGCAGGGGAAGGGTTAAAATGGGGGTCGGGGTGGGGGGAATACTGGGGATTTTGGTGGTGAAAAATGTGCACTGGTAAAGGGATGGGTGTTTGATGATTGTATGACCGGAGCACAAACATGAAGGCGTTGTAACTGCATCTCATGGTGAATCAAAAAAAGGGGAGAAATAACAATATAATAAAATAAAATTAACATTGAGAATAGAATTTTAAAAAAAAGTAATGTAGAGTTCATGGCCATTTCAATCAGATTAATCAATGGCTGATTAAATAGCAGTATTCCTACATTATAAAAAAAATGAGTTAACATGGTGAGTACCGCAGAGAAATGGGCAAACACAGATGGAGACCTGGAGGCTGCCAGGGCTGATACGGTGGGAAAAGGTCCAGAGACCGTTGGGAACAGAGGCTGCCGCCCGCTGCCCGCTCTGAGGTCACAGAGAACGACAGGACATGGGGGCCGCAGGGGAGATCGTGGGTGGGAGGGGGCTTGCACACAGGGTCCTGGTTTCAGGGATCCCCAGATAGCAGATGAATGCCCCAAGAATAAGCTGAGTGCCCCTGGGACATGGGCACCCTCACATCCTCACCCCTGCAGGAATTAAGAGAGTCGCACGCAGCAATATTTACCCTGACAGGAGGGGTCAGCACTGAGCAGGTGTCAGGGGTGGTGCCGGCAGGCAGGAACCTATCTGCACACCCTTTGATGGCATCTGGTGACCGAGCTTGTCCCTCGCGGCCGCCAGGGACTTCAAAGGACATCAGAGGAGCTGGGGCTTGGGCGGGAGGCAAGGCTCGGGGGGCTGCACCCATAAAGGCGGCCAGTCCCGCGCTGTCTCAGGACTCTGCGCTTGGCTGTGCGGGAGGAAGGACGCGCCTCTGCATAGTGACCAGGAGCTCAGACCGGACACGCCTGCGGGGGACAGAGATGGCAGCTCAGGTGTGTGAGGGTCAAAGCAGGAGCTGCCCCTTGGGGTGTGGGGCTGGGGACCCGATTCCAGAGGGTTCCTGGGGGCTGCTGGCTCAGCTATGGGGCGCGGTGGCCACTGACCCGTGTCCTGTCCCCTCAGAGGCCCATGTCCCTGCACTTCTGCCTGCTGTTCCTCTCTGTGGCCACCTTTGCTGGGGGCGCTGGTGAGTCTGGGTGGACCTTGTGAGTTCAGGAAAGGCGGATGTATGGTCAAGAATGGGCAGTGACGAGATTAGTACCAGGGGTTTTGCTCCATGGCTTGGAGGCCAGCCACACATTCTAGGAGGAAAGGGAGCTCAGATAGAGAAGGGAGCACCAAATAAAGGGTGTTGGGAGGATCCTCCCAGGATGGGAGAAGCATGCTGAAAGTAGATTATAGACCAAACATGATTGCCACTCAATGCCTCGCTTGCAAACCACATGACCCAAAGGGAGAGAGAACAAAAGGGAATGCCCTGCCACAGAGTCAGAGTCGGATGGGGGATGGGGGTTGGGAGGGATACTGGGACCCGTGGTGGTGGGAAATGGGCACTGGTGGAGGGAAGGGTATTTGATCTTTGTATAATTGAAACCCAAGCACAAAAATTTGTAAGTCTATTACTGTGCCTCATTTTTCACTAATAAAAATAAAAAAAATAAAGTGAAGTTCTCAAGAAAAAAAAAAGAATGGACAGTGAGGTCAGGCATTGGGGTTCTACCCACTTGTACACAAGGGCACAGAGGATTCAGAATGGGGGTGTCCTGTCGAACACAGCTGCTCTGGAATCAGCTCAGGACAGCAGGTTGTGGTCAGGGGGGCGCTGGACACCCCTTTTTGCCTCCTCAAGGGCACCTCAGGTCGGGGAGTTAATGAACAGGGGGGTGGACCCAGGGCTACTGTTCAGATGGGATCAGGGAGACGAGTGAGCTGGGCAGGTGGGAGGGGACGGGTTGGGGTCCCCCGAAGACAGAGAATGTCCCATTTCAGGAGGATCAACCCCGACTCTTCAGATGACCCAGACCAGCAAACACTGCATCTCCTCCCTCCCGTCCCTGCCACGGAGCTGCAAGGAAATTCAGAAAAAATGTCCCGAAGCCGAGGGTGAGCTGACCCTCAGCCATGCGGCAGCCACAGGGCACACAGCTGACCCAGGCGCCCAGCCACAGTGGACACAGAGGATCCGAACCCATCAGCTTAGAACCTGGAGATTCTGAGGGCACGAGGCTCTGGGGGTTCCCCATGTGGCAGAATTTCACATGGATCTTTGTCCTGTGACACTTGGAGTGCTGGGGGGGGGGGACACTGAGGGACATTGGACTGTCCTTGCGGACACTTCCAGTGAAGGGTTTCTTGGGCTGTCTTCTCTGCACGGTCCATGTTCTGGACCTCCTCCCTCCCTATTCTGGGACCAGACACCAGAACTCTGCACTGTCCCCGCAGATGGCCTGTACCTTCTCCGCACCAAGCAGGGGCTCGTCTACCAGACCTTCTGTGACATGACCATGGATGGAGGCGGCTGGACGCTGGTGGCCAGCGTGCATGAGAACCACATGGCTGGGAAGTGCACCGCGGGGGACCGCTGGTCCAGCCAGCAGGGCAGTCGGGCAGACTACCCCAAGGGTGACAACAACTGGGCCAACTACAACACCTTTGGGTCTGCAGAGGCAGCCACCAGCGACGACTATAAGGTGGGCCCCGGCCGGGCCAGCACTGGGAGCATCGGGCTGGCCCAGCTTTAGCAGATGGGCTGGGCATGGGCAGAGGCATGTGGACAGAGAGTGACCGCTCCTTCTGTGACTCAGGGATTTGGGGTGTGCAGGGTCCTGGTCTGCTGATTGGGGGGGCTATGCTGTGACCAGCTGTCCTGCTGGTGTTCTGCAAGTCTGCACGGGCTGTGGCCATGGGCACCTGACCACTGGCTCTTTGGGTCTTGCAGAACCCTGGCTACTACGACATCCAGGCTCAGGACCTGGGCATCTGGCATGTCCCCAACGACACCCCGCTGTACTCCTGGAGGAACAGCTCCCTGCTGAGGTACTTCACCTTCTCACAGTTCTTCCGGAGACTCGGAGACAACCTGTTTGGCCTCTACCAGGTACGTGGTACTCCTGGCAGGATGCAAGAACCAATAATTGGGGTAGGAATTCTTGAACTCTGGGTCTGGTCACTTGGAGTCACTGGGGTCTGTCCCCCTTGTCTGTCATAATTTCTTTTTTTGTTTTGTTTCTTTGGGTCACACCCAGCAATGCTCAGGGGTTCCTCCTAGCTCTGCACTCAGGAATTACTCCTGGCGGTGCTTGGGGGACCATATGGGATGCCGGGGATCGAACCTGGGTCGGTCGCATGCAAGGCAAATGCCCTACTAGCTGTGCTATCGCTCCGGCTCTGTCTGTTATAATTTCTATCTCCTGCTCCCCTAAGGACTATGCCAGGCAGGGAAGTGTCTCAGGAGACAGCGGGGATGGCGAGACCGGGACAGGGGCTGGTGTGGGGAGACTCAGCCACCGTGCATGTGGCCGACGGCTCTGACTCACCCTGGTGGCCCCTGCAGAAATACCCCGTCCAGTACAACATCGGCAGATGCTGGAACGACAACGGCCCCGCCGTTCTTGTGGAGTATGACTATGGAGATCCCCAGAAAACCGCCTCCTTCTACTCGCCCAACGGTCGACGTGAGTGTTTGCTGTTTGTGCTGAGGATAAAGCCTCCTTGTCCGGTGGTTCGTGGAACCGAGCAGAGCAGCCTCGGCAAACGCGCCCCTGACCCTCACCGTGATGAGAAATCTCTGCGAGCAGATGGACTCACCCCCTGTGACAGGCTGTCACACCGGGAATAGCCCCACTGGAACTATCTACGCGGGTTGGGAAGTGCGGGTTGCTCCCAGCTTGGAAATTTAATGTGGACTTTCCATCTTCAGGAATGGGCAGCAGCTCTCATTCTATTTCAGGACAATAGTCTACAAAGTCTTTAATGGGAAAAGAGATTTCAGGGCATGTTGGGGGCTCCCAGGGAGTGGGTGGGGGTGGCAGGGCTGGGCCACGGGCTGGTGCTACCGCGTGGCTGCTCCCGTTCCCCTGCTCGGTCAAGGGGCTCCTTGGCTCCCTGCACTGACGCGAGACCCTTCTCTGCTCTTCCTTCCCAGGGGAATTTGATGCTGGATTTATCCAATTCCGGGTGTTTAATAATGAGAGAGCAGCCAACGCCCTGTGTGCAGGGATAAGAGTTACCGGCTGCAACACGGAACACGTGAGTCTGGGTGATCAGCATATGCACACATGTGCATGTATATCTGTGATATGTAATATGTATGTAAATAATGTGAATGCGTGTGCATGAATGCATGCCTGTTTTATGTCTGTGAGTGTGTGTGTGTTGTGTGAGTGTGTGAGTATGTCTATGTGTATGTGTATGTCTGTGTGTGTGAGTGTGTGAGTGTGTTTATGTGTGTGTGTGTTCTCACAGCCACTTCCTCTCTGGCTCTGGGATCTCCCTCAGTTCCCCAGTGCCCATCACACCCTTATGCAGTGATACCTCCAGGAACAGGAAAACTCCATGACGGTCATCCAGTACCTCAAGGACAAATTTGTCAGTTTGTCACTGAATCCACAAGCACTAGTGTCCCCTGTCTGAGCACAAACAGATGGTTCACCCGCATAGACACGGGCTCAATCACGGAGCTGCCGACTCTGGCCAGGGCACACCCTGATGTCCACATGGGTGGACTGTGTTGGCATTGAGATGCATCAGAGACCAACAGAGCCCAGGGAGAAGAGGGCTTGGAGTCTGGGAACCGCGCGCTCTGCTAGATTTGGGGTATCGCTGCGGGCTGCAGGGCTTCGTTGAAACAACCTTTGAGCAATCCACGGGGCATGTCCAGAGGCCAGTGGGCACAGCCGGATCGGGGTCGCCTTGGTGACGAATCAGGGGCCTGTGTGCCATGCTGTGGGGAATATCGTGATAGATCAGGTCACGTGAGGGGTCAGGGAATGTTGGTGTCAGGTACAGGATGGGACCCCACATCGGGGGCGGGGAGGCGGCTACTAACTGCCGAATCAGCACTTCTGAGCACTGTGTGACACAGGGCACTGGTGGTGACCAAGACTAAAGGACCACATGGTTTTGGGACTCGGCTTCTGTCCTGTGTCAGTGACAGGAGGCCCTGGGCAGGTGAGGGTAGGGTCCCTCACTGTGCTCAGGTAGTTGTGAGCCTTCGTGGGGGACAGGCACTGGTCAGGGTCCGAGCTGGGTGCAGACATGCGGGGGGAGGCTGAGAGCAGCTGAGTCAGAACCCAAACAGGAGGTTGAGGGGGGCTGAGCCCTGGGGAGGAGCCTCCAGGCTGGTCCTGACGGGGGCTGCGAGGGGCAGAGGGCTTCAAGGATGCAGGAAGCAGCAGCTGCTTTCAGAGTCTTTGGGGGAGAAGGATTTGGGGGTTGGGGGTCCCAGCCCAGAGAGGGGAGCTAGATCTGGGGCTGTCATACTCTGTGGGTTGGCCATGAAGCCCTCAGTTCCCTCTCTGCTTCCAGCACTGCATCGGAGGAGGGGGCTTCTTCCCAGAGGCCAACCCCAGGCAGTGCGGAGACTTCTCCAGCTTCGACTGGAATGGGCACGGGACTCACAGAGACTGGAGCAACAGCCTCGCCATCACTGAGGCAGCTGTGCTACTCTTCTACCGCTGACCGTGCCCGGCCGGGCCCTGTGTCTGCCCTGAGGCGCATTCCTGCCACAGAGAACCGCCAACATCAGGCATAAGCCCGAGAGAATAAATTGCATCCGTTTACAGTTCTGGCTGCTTGAGTTACTTTGACAAATGAGCCCAGGCAGGGGTAGGGGTGGGGTGCGCACCGACATCACACTCAGTGGTTTGATCGTTTTTGAGTTTGGGAGCACATCTCTGGGACCCCTCCTCAGACCTCAGGTCAGAGTTGGGAGGAGGAAAGACTCTGGTCCTTCCTGCCTTCACTGGAAACTCGAGTATTCTGGGCAGATTGCATCATCGGGTTTGTTTCTTTCTACACGGCCAGCTGCCTCAGTTCATACTGGACAACCCTGGCGGGCAGCCTCAGATGCCAGGTGCAAAGCCACAGCCTCAGGAGACCCCCCCTAGTCTGCTTTAAGGGGTGCCTGCAAGCCCAGACTCTCTCCTGTGCCCCCAACAACATGCTGTAGGTGACCCCCACATGCTCTCCTTGACCTGTGGCTCTTCCCAACCAAACCCCAGGCTTAGAGGAACTATTCCTGTGTCAGATTTGGATTTGCTCTTAGAAGCCCAGTGTCTGGGGCCAGAGCAGTGGTACACCAGGAAGGGCGTTTGCCTTGCACATGGTCAGGCCGGGTTTAGTCCCCACCATCCCATAGGGTCCCACAAGCCCCACCAGGAGTAACTCTGAGTGCAGATGCGGGAGTCGCCCCTGGCATCGCCAGGTGTGACCCCAAAAGTCAAAACAAATTAGTAAATGCACAATGTTCTATGGGACAAGATGGATAAGAGGTCCTGGCTTCCACATGGGAAGGGGGGGCGGTACCGGCTCGTCCTTCACGCCCTACCGAGGTCACAAGTTGCCCCCCACCCCCCATGAGCAGCTCTCTGGCACGGCCATGGCTCCAGAGGCAAAGAAACCAATCTCGTAATTATCTGGCTCTTGGCAGAAATCCCTCCAGACTTAATTAGTAAAATATCAGAACTCCAAAATCGCGCGACATCATTTAGTTCTCATAACCAGCTATAGAAAACAAATTACTTCACAATGCCTTTTCAGCAGTTCTGATTGTTGAGCGGAAACTCTCAACAAGAATGGTGCCTCTTTTGTCGAAATAATGAATGCAATCAAAGTAGAGAGAGAGTTAAGTAGCAATCATCTGCCTCACAGGCATTGGGCAGGGTGGGAGGGGGGTATATTGGGGTTCTTGGAGATGAAAAATGAGTACTGGTGAAGGGAAAGGTGGTTGATCATTGTATGACCGAGACTTAAACCTGAAAGCTTTGTAACTTTTCCCACAGTGATTCAATAAATAAACATAACGATCACGATCATGATCATCCTGTTGTTCATCGATTGCCTCGAGCAGGCCCCCAGTAACGTCTCCTTCGTCCTAGCCCTGAGATTTTAAAAAGTGCCATATTCAAGGCTCTTTCAGGGTTAGGAGAATGAGACCCATCATTGCTACTGGTATTTGGCATATTGGATACGCCACAGGGAGTTTGCCAGACTCTGCAGTGTGGGCAGGTTACATTCCGTAGCCTGCCAGGTAACAAAAAATAAATAAATAAATAAATAAAAGAGGTCCTGGCTTCCAGAAACCCACCCTTCCCACCCTTCCCTCTCCCCACGGCCAGCGTCTCAGGGAGGGTCCATTTGGGAGTCCGGGGGAAGCTTCCTTCATTGTGGACACATTTACCAGAAAAGCCACTGGTCATCGCTGTCCAGAGCCCGCCCCATGGACTCCCTGAGTCAAGGAAACAGCTTTCCACCCCGCTGGGTAAGTGGCTGGGCCTTCTGCCCTCCAGCCTGTTGGGTGTTGGGGTCACCTTCGTGCAGCTGCCTCAGACAAAGCCCCCCACCCCAGGCTTCTCTGAGTAGCTTAGAAGCAGGTGAGGCACAGCGGCTGGCCACTGTGGTATGGGTCCAGCCCCAGGCCAGTGTTCCAGCTAAGGCAACTGTGGGATGACTTTGAGGGCCAGACTCGAACAAATTATTGAGCACAGGAGGACAGTCCCTCTACTGCTAAGTTACCGGGACAAAGCCCATGGGACTGGGAGGGGTAAAATTTTGGTTTTAATATAACACGGACTGGGAGGGCTCCATGGCAGAGAATGGGAGAGGTCTGAGACCCACCTATGACACCACACACACACACACACACACACACATACAGACTCACACAAACTTACACAGACTCACTCACACACATACACATGATACGATATATTTCTGAGGAAAGAAAAATATACTCCATAGTTCTTGGGAAAAAACTGGGACTCTGGTTTTTTGGGGTTTTTTTTTTTTGCCTTTTGGGTCACACCCGGCGATGCACAGGGGTCACTCCTGGCTCTGCACTCAGGAATTAACCCTGGCGGTGCTCAGGGGACCCTATGGGATGCTGGGAATAGAACCTGGGTCAGCCACGTGCAAGGCAAATGCCCTACCTGCTGTGCTATCGCTCCAGACCCATCCTTCCTTTCTTTCCCTCTCTTCCTTCTCTTTCCTTTCTTCCATCTTTCCTTCCTTCTTCCCTTCCCTCTTTTTTCTTTCCTTCTTTTTTCTTTCTTTAATTCCTTCCTCCCTCCCTTCTTTCTTTAATTTCTTCCTTCCTCCTTCCTCCTTCCTCCTTTCTTTCTTTCTTTCTTTCTTTCTTTCTTTCTTTCTTTCTTTCTTTCTTTCTTTTTCATTCCTTCCTACTTTCTTCCTTCCTTCCTCCCTCCCTCCCTCCCTCCCTCCGTCCCTCCCTCCCTCTCTTTCTTTCTTTCTTTCTTCTTTCCTTTCTCTCTCTCTCTCTCTCTTTCTTTCTCCCTTGCTCAGGGATCACTGCTGGTGGGCTCAGGGGACAGTTTGTAGATCTGCTCTGCTGGGGACTGATCCCAGCCCGGTCATGTGACAGACATGCACTCTCCCTGCTGTACCCGTCCAGCCCTGGGCTCCTGGGGCAACTAAAGATGTCAAACAAAGATAAAATATGTTACAAAAATGTAGATAAAAAAGTAGACAAAGTCAGTGGGATGACTGGAAGGGAAACAGAACTTGATTTCTGATAAGTCAGGTTGGAAGACACGGGTTTTCTTTTAAATTAAGGGGAAGTGGAATAATTTTACAAATGAGTCAACAAAACTGAATGCAGACAGTAAGCAAAAGAAGGTGATTTGTTTAAGGGGTGAGGGTTATGGGAAAGAAATCTTACGAAAGGCACTTTTTAAAAAAATTTTTATTATTATTATTATTTGCTTTTTGGGTCATGCCTGGCAATGCATAGGGGTTACTCCTGGCTCATGCATCAGAAATTACTCCTGGCGGTGCTCAGGGGACCATATGGGATGCTGGGAATCGAACCCAGGTCAGTCGTGTGCAAGGCAAATGCCCTACCCATTGTGCTATCGCTCCAGCCCCTCTTTTCTTTCTTTCTTTCTTTCTTTCTTTCTTTCTTTCTTTCTTTCTTTCTCTTTTTGGGTCACACCCAGTGATACTCAGGGGTTCCTCCTGACTCTGCACTCAGAAATTACTCCGAGTGGTGCTCAGGGGACCCTCTAGGATGCTGGGGATCGAACCCAGGTTGGCCACGTGCAAGACCAATGCCCTCCCTACCTGCTGTGCTATAACTCTAACCCCATGCGCTTTTTCTTGTTTGATTTGTTTGCTTTGAGTCCACACCTGGCGATACTCAGGGTCTACACCTACCTGTGCACTCAGGAACTACTCCTGGGGGTGCTCAGGGAACCCTATGGGGTGCCAGAGATTAAACCTGGAGCAGCCGTGGGCAAGACAAACACTCGATCACCCGGGCCCCAAGCCTGTATTTTCTAACTCTTGTGGGTAGGTTGGCGAAAGGAAGAGCAAGAACAAATTCTTGGACTGAAAGGGCCACGTGGGTGACCTCGCAAAATGCCAGCAACGGTCACTTTGTTCGGTTTCATGTTCCCAGGACAGGAAGGTTTAAAAGCTCCTGCGCTGGCCACACACTGACGCGAACCCAGCGGCGAGTAGTAAGAGGCAGTTTTCTGGCGATCTCCTAGTCATGGGAACAGCGGGGCTGTTGTCATTCCAGCACTTGCCAATGCTGTACTGGACGGGGTATTTCTGCAGGAGTCACCAGGGTGAGTCAGAGCCGTCGGCCACATGCACGAGGGGCTGAGTCTCCCCCTATTAGCCTCTGCCCTGTCCCACCCGGGTCTCCTGCCTGGATCCAGCTCCTGAGAGAGAGGGGAGGGAGATCAAACCCAAGTTGGCCATTTGCAAGGCAAGTGTCCCACCCTTTGTACCATCTCTCTGGCGCCCAGAATCTAAATTAATACCCCCTACGCTTCACTTCATCTGTACAAGGTCACAAGACATCAGAGCCAGGGCGGATGCAATTTATTGTTTGGTGCCTCTGTTAACATGCAGAAACTGGTCCTCTGTGGCCGGGATGCAGCTCAGTGTGGACACCAGGGGCCGGCCAGGCGTGGTCAGCGGTAGAAGAGCAGCACGGCCGCCTCGGTGATGTTGCGGCTGTTGCTGCTTCCACTGTGAGTCCCATAACCGCTAAAGTCGAAGCCGGAGAAGTCCCCGCACTGCCTGGGGTTGGCCTCCGGGAAGAAGCCCCCTCCTCCGATGCAGTGCTGGAAGCAGAGAGGGAATTGAGGGCTTCGCAGGACCTCACAGAGTGTGGCAGCCCCAATATTCCCCGCAGCACGGCACACAGGTCCCTGATCCGTCACCAAGGCGGCCCTGATCTGGCTGTGCCCACTGGCCTCTGCACATGCCTCGTGGATTGCTTAGAGATTGTTTCAACCAAGTCCTGCAGCCCACAACGATACCCCAAATCTAGCAGAGCTTGGACACCTCTGCAAACCACCTCTGCAAACCACCTCTGCAAACCACCTCTGCAAACCACCTCCCCTCAGACCCAGGGTAGAGCTCACAGTTCCCTGGCTCCAAGCCTTCTTCTTCCCCGACCCTGTTGGTCTCTGATGCATCTCGACACCAACACAGTCCTCCCATCGGGACATCAGGGTGTGCCCTGGCCAGAGCCGGCAGCTCAGGGATTGAGCTAGTGTCTGTGCTTGTGTTTGTGCTGAGACGGGGGACACTAGTGCCTTTGGATTCAGTGACGCGCTGACACTTTTGTCCCTAAATGAGGTGTCCTGAGTGATCGTCATGGTGCTTCCCTGTTCCTGGAGGAATCACTGCATGAGGGTGTGATGGGCACTGGGGAACCGAGAGAGATCCCAGAGCTAGAAAGGAAGTGGATGTGAGAACGCACACACACACACACACACACACAAACATACACACACTCACACACACTCATGCATAGGTATACAACACATGAGCATGCATCCATGCACACACATTCACAGTATTTACATATACACACGAATGCACAGACATACACGCATGCAAACGTGCTGATCACCCAGACTCACGTGTTCCGTGTTGCATCCCGTCACTCTTATCCCCGCACACAGGGCGTTGGCTGCTCTCTCGTTATTAAACACCCGGAATTGGATAAATCCAGCATCGATTTCATCTGGGAAATAAGAGCAGAGAAGAGTCACACACCAATGCAGGGAGCCAAGGAGCTCGTTGACGGAGCAGCACCAGCCCGTGGCCCGGCCACTGCCACCCTCAACCGCCCCCTGGGAGCCCCCAACGCGCCCTGAAATCTCTTTTCCCATTCAAGACTCCGCAGATTATTGTCCTGCAAGATCTGTCCTTGTAATAGGACTGAGAGTTGCTGTCCATTCCTGAAGATGAAAAATCTACACTAAGTTTCTAGGCTGGGAGCAACCCGCACTTCCTAACCCGCGTAGATAGTACCAGTGGGGTTATCCCCCGAGTGACAGCCTGTCACGGGGAGTGAGTCCATCTGCTCGCAGAGATTTCTCATCCCGGTGAGGGTCAGGGGCGCGTTTGTCAAGGCTGCTCTGCTCGGTTCCACGAACCACAGGACAAGGAGGCTTTATCCTCAGCAAACACTCACTTTGACCAATAGGGGAGTAGTAGGAGGCGGTTTTCTGGGGACTCCCATAGTCATAGTCCACGGGAATGTCGGGGCCGTTGTCGTGCCAACACCTGCCGATGTTGTACTGGACGGGGTATTTCTGCAGGAGCCACCAGGGTGAGTCAGAGCCGTCGGCCACATGCACGGGGGGCTGAGTCTCCCCACACCAGCCCCTGTCCCGGTCTCGCCATCCCCGCTGTCTCCTGAGACACTTCCCTCCCTGGCTCAGATCTTATGGGAGCAGCAGAGATAGAGAAAGAGAGAGAGACAGAGAGACACAGAGAGAGACAGAGAAATGATTGTGCACAGATCCCCTGGACACTCCCGAGGAAAACCCTAGTGACCAGGTGCACAGACGACTCATTCCTCACTCCAACCTTTGGTGCTTGTCCCCCCTCCCTCCCACAAATACCTCCAGCTGCACCCACGTACCTGGTAGAGGCCAAACAGATTGTCTCCGAATCTCTTTAAGAAGCCTGAGAAGGTGAAGTACCTCAGCAGAGAGCTGCTCCTCCAGGATTTCAGCGGGGTATTGTTGGGGACATGCCAGATGGCCAGGTCCCCCGCCTGGATGTCGTAGTAGCCGGGGTTCTGCAAACCCCACAGAGCGGTGGTCAGAGGCCCATGGCCACATCGCACACAGCCTTATGGAGCTCAGAGCACCAGCTGGACAGCTGGACACAGCAGAGACCCCCCATTCAAAGGACCAGGACCCCGCTCACGCGAGGTGCCTGAGTCACGGAAGGAGTGGTCACTCAGGAACCAGAGGTCTCTGACCACGTGCCTCTGCCTGTGCCCAGCCCGTCTGCTAAAGCTGGGCCAGCCCGATGCTCCCAGTGCTGGCCCGGCTGGGGCCCACCTTGTAGTCGTCGCTGGTGACTGCGACTGCAGACCCAAAGGTGTTGAAGTTGGCCCAGTTGTTGTCCCCCTTGGGGGTGTCTGCTCGGTTGCCCTGCTGGCTGGACCAGCAGTCCCCCACTGTGCACCTCCCATTCATGTTGTTCTCGTGTATGCTGGCCACCAGCGTCCAGCCACCTCCATCCATGGTCATGTCACAGAAGGTCTGGTAGAGGACCCCATCCTCAGTGCGGAGTAAGTACAGACCATCTGCAGGGGACAGCAGCACGGAGTCCTGGTCACCAACCCAAAAGAGGTAACCCGGGAGGTCCAGCATGGTTGGGCATGACTTTGAGGGGACATGTGTCCCGGCCCCCATCCCTCTGTTAAGATGGTGCAGAGCAGATTCTCAAGACAGCCCGCTTGGCCAGCTTCCTGAGAACCCTGAGTATCCCTCCTTCAGGGTCCTCGTGTCCCCCAGGTTCCCCGAAACTGGACACAACGTCCCCGTGTACAGGGACCAGTCTGCTGCACGAGGTCTCCAAACCCTTGTCCGCTCAGAATCTGCCGGATTTCTGAGCTGACAGTTGCTGGGTCCTCAGTGTCCACTGTGGCTGGCTCCTGGGTCAACTGTGTCCACTGTGGCTGCCGCGGGGCTGAGGGTCAGTCACTTTCGGCTTCTGGATTCTTCTTCTGAACTTCCATGCAACTCCGAGGCAGAGAGTGGAGTGCGGAGACACAGCCTTTGCTTTTCAGGGTCATCTTTTGAGTCGGGGTTACTGCTGAAAGGGACATTCTCTGTCTCCGAGGGGACCCACCTGCCCCCTGCCTTCCTGCTCAGCCCCCTCCCTGCCTTGGCGGCTGCCCTGTCCACCCAATTTCAGGGTCGGCCCAGACTTACCTGCACCACTGACCAAGGTGGCCACAGCTAGGAACAGCAGGCAGCAGTGCAGGGACAAGGGCCTCTGAGGGGACAGGACATGGGTCAGTGGCCCCTGCACCCCATACCTGAGCCCCAGGGACCCTCTAGAATCGAGAGCCCCAACCCCACACCACGAGGGGCAGCTCCCGCTCTGACCCTCACACACCTGAGCTGCCATCTCTGTCCCCCGCAGGCGTGTCCGGTCTGAGCTCCTGGTCCTCCCGCACGGCCAAGCTCAGAGTCCTGGGACAGCGCAGGCTGGGCCGCCTTTATGGGTGCAGCCCCCCGTGTCCTGCCTCCCACCCAAGCCACAGTCCCTCCGATGTCCTTTGAAGGCACTGGTGGCTGTGAGGATAGAACACAGCCACCAGATACCATCAAAGGGCACACGGGGGGTGGGGGGGGGTCCCTGCCTGCTGGCACAGCCCCGGCACCTGGTCAGCGCTGACCCCTCCTATCAGAGCAAATATTGTGACTCTCTTCATTCCTGCAGGGGTGAAGGGGTGAGGTTGCCCTTGTTCTGGGGGCACTCAGCTTGTTCTTGGGTGCGTCTCTCTGCAGTCTGGGGGATCCTTGAAACCAGACCCCTGTGTGCAAAGCCTCGACCCACCCATGATCTCCCTTGGCACCCCCACGTCCTGTTGTTCCCTTGACCTCAGAGCGGGCCACAGGCGGCAGCCTCTGTTCCCAACGGTCCCTGGACCTATTCCCAGTGCATCAGCCCTGCCAACCTCCAGGTCTCCATCTGTGTTTGCCCGTTTCTCCGCGGTGCTCATCACACTGACTCTTTTTCCTTTGCGGGGACGGTCACACCCATAGATCCTCAGGGGTTGCTCCTGGTTCTGCACTCAGGAATGACCCCCGTTGGGGCCCAGGGTACTGTTTGGGATGTGGAGGATTGAACTCAGGTGGGCCACGTGCACCCTCCATGTTCCATTTCTCCAGCCCTCTCACATTGTTAACTTTTGTATCTTAATTAGGTGTTTGGAACCCAGGAAGGGCTCATCTCATTTTAAAACACACATTTTATTTCCTCTTAAAAATGCGTGCATTCCTAAGAGGAATGGGCCCCAACGGGGGTCATTTCTGAGTGCAGAACCAGGAGCAACCCCTGAGGATCTATGGGTGTGACCGTCCCCGCAAAGGAAAAAGAGTCAGTGTGATGAGCACCGCGGAGTACAGGCAAACACAGATGGAGACCTGGAGGTTGGCAGGGCTGATGCACTGGGAATAGGTCCAGGGACCGTTGGGAACAGAGGCTGCCGCCTGCGGCCCGCGGCCCGCTCTGAGGTTAAGGGAACAACAGGACGTGGGGGTGCCAAGGGAGATCATGGGTGGGTCGAGGCTTTGCACACAGGGGTCTGGTTTCAAGGACCCCCCCAGACTGTAGAGAGATGCACCCAAGAACAAGCTGAGTGCCCTCAGAACAAGGGCAACCTCACCCCTTCACCCCTGCAGGAATGAAGAGAGTCACAATATTTGCTCTGATAGGAGGGGTCAGCGCTGACCAGGTGCCGGGGCTGTGCCAGCAGGCAGGGACCCCCCCACCCCCCATGTGCCCTTTGATGGTATCTGGTGGCTGTGTTCTATCCTCACAGCCACCAGTGCCTTCAAAGGACATCAGAGGGACTGTGGCTTGAGTGGGAGGCGGGACTCAGGGGCTGCAACACTTTTGGAAAACAGTATGGACGATTCTCAAAAAATTAGAACTTGAGCTCCCATTTGACCCAGCAATACCACTCCTGGGAATATATCCCAGAGAGGCAAAAATGTATAGTCGAAGTGACATCTGCACTTGTTTGTCCATTGCAGCACTCTTTACAATAGCCAGAAACTGGAAGAAACTTGAGTGCCCGAGAACAGATGACTGGTTAAAGAAACTTTGGTACATCTACACAATGGAGTACTATGTAGCTGTTAGAAAAGATGAAGTCATGAAATTTACATACAAGTGGTACTACATGGAAAGTATCATGTTAAGCGAAATAACTCAGAAAGAAAGGGATAGACACAGAAAGATTGCATTCATCTCAGGAACATAAAGTAACATAATGGGAGACTAACACCCAGGAGTGACCGAGATTAGCACCAGGAATTTTGCTCCATGGCTTGGAGGCCAGCCACACATGCTAGGGGAAAAGGCAGCTCGGATAGAGAAGAGAGCACCAAATAAAGGGTGTTGGGAGGATCCTCCCAGGATGGGAGAAGCATGCTGAAAGTAGACTATAGACCAAACATGATTGCCACTCAATGCCTCTCTTGCAAACCACATGACCCAAATGGAGAGAGAGAGAACAAAAGGGAATGCCCTGACACAGAGGCAGGGTGGGATGGGGGGAATGAGGGGTGGGAGGGATGCTGGGACCTGTGGTGGTGGAGGATGGGCGCTGGTGGAGGGATGGGTACTTGATCATTGTATAACTGAAACCCAAGCACAAAAATTTGTAAGTCTATAACTGTACCTTGTGGTGTTTCACTAATAAAAATAAATAAATAAATAAATAAATAAAATAAAAATTTGTGCATTCCTCCACAAACATTAGCTGGATACTAGGTGGAATTCACTAAGTTTTACTTTAGTTCATCATTCAAGACAGCTGCATATAATGGTCCGATCATGTGTCTATTACTTTATTTTTAATAAACTTTTTGGCTGCTGGGAGTCACACCCCTTGATGCTCAGGCATTATTCCTGGCTCTGAAATAGGGAATTACACCTGGTGGGGCTCAGGGGACCATATGGGATGCTGAGGATCAAACCTGAGTGAGCCCAGGGCAAGTCAAGCTTCCCCCAGTGGTTTGTCTTTTAACAGATATCCAGAAAGTGCTGGAAATTATTTACTTTCTTAAATTCATTGGCCATCCTACAATCGTTAACTTTACATGAAGTGTTCCAATAATGTCCTCATTCACAAAAATGTAGGTGTTAGGTAGGAATAAATGGAAAAAAGTAACCATTCAGTTAGTAACAATGTAGGTTGGTAAGAATTTAGTAACAATGTAGCGATCTCTTTTTTTCCTCTCTAATTGTTTCACCACAGGCAGCAAACCACACTGACGTTTCAGATACTTCTCTCTGTTATTTCATGCCCGTGTTTATCCTGGGGAAGATTTGACTGGGAGCCAAGGCGGGTCAGACCATATGGCGGGTGACCGTGTCTGTGATGTTCCCGGGGCCTTGAGGTGACAGAATTCCTTATCACGAACACCCGCCTGCTCCCCAGACCGCGCCCTTCAAAGGAGGCCGGCGTGCCTGTAGGAGGACCACAGTGCTGATGGTGGAGGCTGGGGTGAGAGGCGGGTTCGAGGGCAGAGGCTGGGGACCCCCAGGGAATCCTGACTCTCAGTCTCAGCCTGTCTTGGGCTGTGGATGGCACAGTTGGTGGCTGCCGACGGCCCGGTTCTTTGTTTTTCATCTGATTTTTATTTAAGTCAGTTATTTTATTTCAGAGGTATCATCAGGAGAGTCCTGAAGGAACCATCGGGGGCTGAAAATACAGCCACCCTTGCACTCAGCCCTGCGACGAAGGAGGGACTTGGGGCAGCGCTGTCAGTGGAACAGGACTCCCACATGGGGGTCACGGCCTCCTGGCTTCTAAGAGCACGGGTGAGTGCTGCAGGGTCCCTGGGCAGTGAGGCAGGACTTGGAGAAGAAGGGCGTGTAACCAAACGGACAGGACTCTGCAACCCTAGGCTGTGGGGAAGTGTCCACAGTGACAGCCCACAGTGCCCAGGTGACAGGCAACATAGCCCATGGGAGGGATAAAATCTTGGTTTTAATAGAACGTGGCTGGGAAGGGCCCATGACAGAGAATGTGTGAGGTCTGAGTTCTACCCCAGCAAAACATACAAATACAAACACAAAGACACACACACACACACACACACACACACACACACACACACACACACGCATTCCACAAAATAATCACAATCCATGACACTCCTGGTTTTGAGTTTGTTTTGTGTTGGGCTGGAGCGATAACACAGCAGTAGGGTGTTTGCCTTGCACGCAGCCAGCCCAGCCGAACCGGGTTCAATACCTCCGCCCTTCTCGGAGAGCCCGGCAAGCTGCCGAGAGTATCTCGCCCGCACGGCAGAGCCTGGCAAGCTCCCTGTGACGTATTCAATATGCCAAACACAGTTACAACGAGTCTCACGATGGAGACGTTACTGGGCCCGCTCGAGCAAATCGACGAACAACAGGAGGGCCTTATTTATATTCATTTATACTTTAATTAATTTGTACGAGATCACAAGACACCAGAGCCAGGGTGGATGCGATTTATTGTCTGATGCAACTGTTAACACACAGCGGCTGGTTCTCTGTGGCCGGGACGCAGCTCAGCGAGGACACGGGGGACTGGCCAGGCGCGGTCAGCGGTAGAAGAGCAGCACGGCCGCCTCGGTGATGGCGCGGCTACTGCTGCCTCCGGTGTGAGTTCCGTATCCGTTCCAGTCAAAGGCGGAGAAGTCCCCGCACTGCCTGGGGTTGCCCTCTGGGAAGAAGCCCCCTCCTCCGATGCAGTGCTGGAAGCAGAGAGGAAACTGAGGGCTTCACGGCCAAACCACAGAGTGTGGCAGCCCACAATCTAGCTCCCCTCTCTGGGCTGGGACCCCCCAACCCCTGAATCCTTCTCCCCCAAAGACTCTGAAAGCAGCTGCTGCTTCCTGCATCCTTGAAGCCCTCTGCCCCTCGCAGCCCCCGTCAGGACCAGCCTGGAGGCTCCTCCCCAGGGCTCAGCCCCCCTCAACCTCAGCTGCTCTCAGCCTCCCACTGCAGGTCTGCACCCAGCTCGGGCCCTGCCCAGTGCCTGCCCCCCACGAAGGCTCTCAGCTCCCTGAGCACAGTGAGGGACTCTACCCTCACCTGCCCTGGGACACCTGTCACTAACACAGGACATTGGTTGAATCCCAAACCTACCCAGTTATTTTAGTCTCTGTCACCGCCTGTGCCCCATGTCACAGAGTGCCCAGGAGTGCTGATTCATTCACCAGTCCGCAGGCCCTGGTGTGGGGTCCTATCCCTTAACTGCCACCAACATTCCCTGACGACTCACGTGTCCTGATCTATCATAATATTCTCCGCAGCATGGCAAATGTGTCCTTGCTCTGTAACCAAGGCGGCCCTGGCCTCTGCACATGCCTCGTGGATTGCTGGAGGTTGTTCCAACCAAGCCCTGCAGCCCACAGCTATACCCCAAATCTAGCAGAGTTCAGGCATCTCTGCAAACCACCTCCCCTCAGACCCAGGGTGGAGCGCGCGGTTCCCTGGCTCCAAGCCCTCTTCTTCCCCGACCCTGTTGGTCTCTGATACATCTCGACACCAACACAGTCCTCCCATCTGGACATCAGCGTGTGCCCTGGCCAGAGCCGGCAGCTCGGGGATTGAGCCAGTGTCTGTGCAGGTGAACCATCTGTTTGTGCTGAGACAGGGGACACGAGTGCCTGTGCATTCAGCGAAGCACTGACACTTTTGTCTCTAACTGAGGTCCCGGATGACGGACATGGAGCTTTCCTGTTCCTGGAGGAATCACTGCATGAGGGTGTGATGGGCACTGGGGAACCGAGGGAGATCCCATAGCCAGAGAGGAAGTGGCTGAGAGAACACACATACACACACACACTCACACACACACTCACACACACTCACACACAAGGTATCAAACACACAAGCATGAATTCATGGACACATGTTCACAGTATTTACGTATAAACACATATGTACACACATACACCCATGCATACATGGGAATATGCTGATCACCCAGACTCACGATTTCCGTGTTGCACCCGGTAACTCTCATCCCCGCACACAGGGCGTTGGCTGCTCTCTCGTTATTAAACACCCGGAATTGGATATATCCAGCATCAAATTCCCCTGGGAAGAAAGAGCAGAGAAGGGTCTCGCGTCAGTGCAGGGAGTCAAGGAGTCCCTTGACCGAGCAGGGAGACGGGAGCAGCCACGCGGTAGCACCAGCCCGTGGCCCAGCCCTGCCACCCCCACCCGCCCCCAGGAGCCCCCAACGCGCCCTGAAATCTCTTTTCCCTTTCAAGACTTTGTAGACTATTGTCCTGAAATAAAACTGAGAGCTGCTGTCCATTCCTGAAGATGGAAAATTTACATTAAGCTTCTAGGCTCGGAGCAACCCACACTTCCAACCCGCGTAGATAGTTCCAGTGGGGTTATCCCCCGAGTGACAGCCTGTCACGGGGAGTGAGTCCATCTGCTCGCAGAGATTTCTCATCCCGGTGAGGGTCAGGGGCACGTTTGTCAAGGCTGCTCTGCTCCGTTCCACGAACCACAGGCAGGACAAGGAGGCTTTATCCTCAGCAAACACTCACTTTGACCAATAGGGGAGTAGTAGGAGGCGGTTTTCTCGGGACTCCCATAGTCATAGTCCACGGGGATGGCGGGGCCGTTGTCGTGCCAACACCTGCCGATGTTGTACTGGACGGGGTATTTCTGCAGGAGCCACCAGGGTGAGTCAGAGCCGTCGGCCACATGCACGGGGGGCTGAGTCTCCCCACACCAGCCCCTGTCCCGGTCTCGCCATCCCCGCTGTCTCCTGAGACACTTCCCTCCCTGGCTCAGATCTTATGGGAGCAGCAGAGATAGAGAAAGAGAGAGAGACAGAGAGACACAGAGAGAGACAGAGAAATGATTGTGCACAGATCCCCTGGACACTCCTGAGGAAAACCCTAGTGACCAGGTGCACAGACGACTCATTCCTCACCCCAACCATTGGCACTCGTCTCCCCTCCCTCCCACAAATTCCTCAGCTGCCCCCACGTACCTTGTAGAGGCCAAACAGATTGTGTCCGAGTCTCCTTAAGAAGCCCGAGTAGGTGAAGTACCTCAGCAGGGATCTTTCCCTCCAGGACCTCAGTGGGGTCTTGTTTTCGACATGCCAGATAGCCAGGTCCTGCGCCTGGATGTCGTAGTAGCCGTGGTTCTGCAAACCCCACAGAGCTGTGGTGAGATGCCCACGGCCACAGCCCACACAGCCTCCTGGATCCCAGAGCACCAGCAGGACAGCTGGACACGGTACAGACCCACCAAGAGAGCAGACCAGGACCCTGCACGCCCCAGATCCCTGAGTCACGGAAGGAGCGGTCACTCAGGACCCAGAGGTCTCTCTGTCCACGTGCCTCTGCCCATGCCCAGCCTGTCTTCTAAGGCCTAGCTATCCCGATGCTCCCAGTGCTGGCCCGGCCGGGGCCCACCTTGTAGTCGTCGCTGGTGGCTGCGACTGCAGACCCAAAGGTGTTGTAATTGGCCCAGTTGTCGTCCCCCTTGGGGTAGTCTGCCCGGTTGCCCTGCTGGCTGGACCAGCGGTCCCCCGCAGTGCACTTCCCAGCCATGTGGTTCTCATGCACGCTGGCCACCAGGGTCCAGCCGCCGCCGTCCACAGTCATGTCGCAGAAGGTCTGGTAGACGACCCCGTCCAAAGTGCGGAGTAAGTACAGGCCATCTGCAGGAGACAGCAGCATGGAGTCCTGGCCACCAGCCCAAAATTGGGAGCCCGGGAGGTCCAGCATGGTTGAGCATCACCTTGAAGGGACATGTGCCCGGGCCCCCATTCCTCTTGGGACAGGGCTGAGCAAATGCTCGAGACAGCCCCCTTGGCCAGCTTCTCGAGAACCCTGAGTATCCCTCCTTTAGGGTCCCCGTGTCCCCCAGGTCCCCTGACACTGGACACGTTGTCCCCATATACAGAGACAAATCTGCCCCATGGGGGCTCCCAAGACCTCATCCCCTCAGAATTTCCCGGATTTCTGAGCTGACGGTGCTCCTCCTCCATGTCCACTGTGGGCTCCCAGGTCAGCTGTGTCCACCGTGGCTGCCGCAGGGCTGAGGGTCAGTCACCTTTGGCTCCAGGATGCTTCTTCAGAATTTCCTTGCAGCTCCGTGGCAAACTCGCATGCCTATTCTCAGTCACGTTTGGAGTCAGGGCTGCTCCTGAAAGGGACATTTCCGGTTCATGGGGCCCCAAATGCCCCCCGCCTGCCTGCCCAGACCCCCTCCCTGACCTGGTAGCTGACCAGGTCCCCCTTCTCCCTGAGTGTCCCTGACCCCTGTCTGCCACCGCCCAGCTGAGGACTCCAGCCCAGGGACTCTATGTAGGGGGCATAGAGGTGTCCCAGGACCCCACTGGTGCAGATGGGGACGTCTGGACACCCACCCTAGCTGCTCTCTCTGAGCACTTGGGGCTCCGAGGGGCGGATCCTCACCCCCTTAACCACAGTCTGCTCTGGACAACAGGGTCACCCGGACCTGGGTCACCTCTGTGTCCCTCTCCCTCCTGGCACTGTGATTCCTGCCTGCCCTGTCCACCCACTCCTGGGGGCCAGCCAGACTCACCTGCACCCCCGGCCAAGGTGGCCACAGAGAGGAACAGCAGGCAGCCGTGCAGGGACATGGGCCTCTGAGGGGACAGGACACGGGTCAGTGGCCCCCGCACCCCATAGCTGAGCCAGCAGCCCCCTGGGACCCTCTGGAATCGAGCCCCCAGCCCCACACCCCAAGGGGCAGCTCCTGCTTTGACCCTCACACACCTGAGCTGCCATCTCTGTCCCCCACAGGCGTGTCTGGTCTGAGCTCCTGGTCACCACGCAGAGGCGCGTCTTTCCTCCTTCACGGCCGAGCTCAGAGTCCTGGGACAGCGCGGGCCCGGCCACCTTTATGGGTTGCAGCCCCCTGAGCCCCGCCTCCCGCCCAAGCCCCAGCTCCTCTGATGTCCTTTGAAGTCCCTAGCAGCTGGGAGGGACAAGCTCGGCCACCAGATGCCATCAAAGGGCACGCGGGAGGGTCTCTACCTGCCGGCACAGCCCCAGCACCTGGTCAGCGCTGACCACTCCTGTCAGAGCAAATATTGTGACTCTCTTAATTCCTGCAGGGGTGAAGGGGTGAGGTTGGCCTTGTCCCAGGGCCACTCAGCTTGATCTTGGGTGCGTCTCTCTGCAGTCTGGGGGTCCTTGAAACCAGAACCCTGTGTGCAAAGTCTCACCCCACCCACGACCTCCCCTGACACCCCCACATCCCTGTGACCTCAGAGCGGGCAGCGGGCGGCAGCCTCTGTTCCCAGCGCTTCCTGAATCTTTTTCCACTTTGACTCTCAAGGCTCCAGTTCCCCTTCTGAGCACGAAAAGGGCTTCACCCTGATGCTCACCATGTAATTAGGTGATTGGGGTCAGGGAAGGTCCATCCACATTCACACACACACACACACACACAAACACACTTTTCTGTATGTAATGGTCACTATTTCCCCTTACAAGTCCTTTGAACTTACTCTGGTTCATTCAATCCCTTTAGCTGACACCGGTCAAGACAGCTACAGCCAACAACCAATGGACCAAGTATGTGGGTTCTTTTTTTTTTGGCTTTTTGGGTCACACCTGGTGATGCACAGGGGTTCCTCCTGGCTCTGCACTCAGGAATTACTCCTTCTGGTGCTCGGGGGACCATTTGGGATGCTGGGAATTGAACCCAGGTTGGCTGCTTGTACAAAGCAAACACCCTCCCCGCTGTGCTATCGCTCCAGCCTCCCCAAATCTGTGTTTTAACAGATAAACAGCAAACAACTGCATCCCCACTGGACCATTACCAACTTTCAGGAATTCAAAGATTTTTCAATTGTTACATGCAGATTAAATGCAAGTGTTTCCGTATCATGCTAAGCGAAATGAGTCAGAAAGAGAGGGATAGACATAGAAAGATTGCATTCATCTGGGGGATATAAAGTAACAAAATATGAGATTAATATCCAAGAATAGCTGAGATCAGCACCAGGAGGATTACTCCATAGCTTAGAGGCCAGCCGGGCATTCTAGGGGAAAGGGCAGCTCAGATAGAAAAGGGAGCACCAAACAAAGGGTGTTTGGAGGACCCTCCCAGGAGGGGAGATGTATGTCGAAAGTAGACTATGGACTGAACATGTTTGCCACTCAATGCCTCTTTTGCAGACCACAACACCCAAAAGGAGAGAGAAAACACAAGGGATTGCCCTGCCACAGAGGCAGGGTGGGATGGGGGGGTTGGAGGTGGGAGGGATATTATCCATGGTGGTGGAAAATGGGCACTGGTGGAGGGATGGGTGTTTGATCATTGTATAATCGAAACCCAAGCACAAAAATTTGTAAACCTACAACTGTACCTCATGGTGTTTCACTAATAAAAATTTTAAAAATAAAAAAAATGCAAGTGTTTCCATTATCCTTTGGTCATTGACAAAAGTTAAATTTTGGGGGGGGGAGGAAAAAGTAACAATGTAAGTGACAATTTTGGAACCTCTTTTCCAGTTTGGTTTGTTTGGTTATAGTTTTTACTATATATAGTCTAAACCACACTGACTGTTCCGATACTTATTTCTGTATCTGATACGTACACTTACTTCCGGGAAGATTTGACTGAGAACTCAAGGGCGGGTCAGACCATGTGAGCAGTTTCTGATGTCCCCGCGGGTTCGGTGACCTGCGTGGGGCCACCTGCCCAGTGCTCGGAACAAGGGACACAGCGAGGTGACAGAATTCCTTATCACAGAGCACCCTGCTTGCTCCCGCTTCAAAGAAAGCCAGACAGGTGGTGCTGATGAGAGGCACAGGCGGAGGGCAGAGAGTGGGGGAGACCCACGGGGCAGACGCTGACCCCCAAGACCGCCTCGTCTGGTCTCCAGGGAGCCGCGGAGCCCCGGGACTTCCCCAAGTCTATCAGGAGGGCACAACCCACTTCCCCTTCCCTGCGCTGCTGAGATGCTGAGACAAGTCTACACACTCCTGGGGCCGCTTCCACTTCTTGGAGGCCGTTTGTGGGTGTGTCTCTCTGGTGGAAGCAGGGTTTCCTCTCGCACTACGCCAGGAGAGAGGGGGGGATCCCTGATTCCCCCAGGGAGCTCGGGAGGCAGAGAGTGGGCATCCTCGCTGCCCACGCGTGGGGGGAGAGAATTTCCCGGCAGCTATGTCCTGTCATGCTGGCGCATGCAGGGAGGAGGTTCTGTTTCCCACCTTGGGAGCCTGAGATGCAGAGGGGGCTTCCCGTTTCCCACCCCAGGCCCAAGTGCCAGGGTGCTCTCAGCTCTCCGCCTCGGGCAACTGCATCTCCACACGGAAGCGGGGTGACTAGTTTCTTCTCCTTCTCTCCTGTCCTCCAACGTCTCTATCTCCTCACCCTCCTTCTTCTCCTTCTCCACTTCTGCCTCCCAACTCGTTGGCATGGGCTTTGCCCCCAGCACCAACTGGGGGGGGGGGGGAGGGGGAGCACAGACCACCCACCCTCCACCTGCTCCCGCTTTCAGACCCTCCGACGCTGCCCTGCCTCACAGGGACTGGCCCCTGGTCCCTTAGGCGGCCAGTGTGGGCGTGTGTGGGCGGGCCTGGGCTTATTGGGTAGGTTGGTGATTGCACCGCTCCCAGCGGGCGGGGCCTGGCGGGCTCTGGCCTGAGCCTGCTGCAGAGCCGGGGGACAGGCTGCTGGTGGGATGCTGGCTCCCAGCCTCGCCCTCCTCCTTCTCCTGCTGGGATGCCAGAGCCAAGGTAAAGAGGTGCAGCCTCACCGCGGGGCAGTGGCGGGTGCCTGGGCCAGGCTGCAGCAGGGGCACCCAAACCGGGAGGACCCCATGACTGGGTGGACCCCTCAGGCTGCAGCATGTGGCTCTGCTGGGGGTCCGGGAGTCCCTCTTGGGCCTCAGTTTACCTTCTGGGTGGGGATGGGAGAGCTGCCGGCAGGGACCTTCAAGCCGGGGTGTGGCGAGCACTGGGGAAGTGAGCCCTATTTGCAGTTCCTCAGGGAAGGGCATGTGGGGTTGAAGACAGCCCCAGGCAGGACCGGGCGCAGGGCTGGGCCAAGGGACCCCACCAGCAAGGTGCCTGCATGCTTGGCGGCAGGGCAGGGATGCTGGACGTCGGCCAGCCGCACACAGGGACGGGGCAAATCCCAGGGGCACACCATACAGCGAGGAAAAAGGAAAATCCGTTTCTCCCACAGGAACAACGACGAAGACGGAGGTGGTCAGCCCTGCGGGCAGCCAGGGTGCAAACAATGAATGCAGTGAGTGATTCCGCGCGCCGAGGTCCCCCGCGGGAGCTACCCTGCTCCCTGCGACGCGGCCGGAGGCGTGAGGGCCACCAGGAGCCCAGGGAACGTGCTCCTCGCCTGTCCGGGGGCCCTGCTGGGACTTAGGGCCTCGGAGCCCCCAGGGAGAGACCCAACCCCCACGCGGGGCTGCTCAGGGGGCCCGGGTTCCCACAGGGGTGCGGCGGGGAGCAGATGCAGAGATGAGGCCCCGGGAGGCCTGACTGTGGTCACCAAGCTGAGTGCCACTTCCTGTGTGGGGGCAGCTGGCTCGGGCCGGAGCCACCGGACACAGCCCCACCTAAAGGGCTGGGCTGAGCTGGGCGTCCCAGCCTGGACGAGGGGTCCAGCTGCCCCAGCCTGCAGCCTCCTGCACCCTGGGGGGGGCAGGCCAAGCCCCCTTCAGTGAGACTCCCCAGAGCTGGGGGGGAGGATGTTGAGGTTTTTCTCACCAGGAGGGGGTGAAGGTCACTGAGGGGGGTCCTGAGGGCTGAGTGCAGAGCCGAGGCCCCTCCCCTGTCTCAAGGGGCCGCCAGGGAAGCCACTGAATCCCCCAGCCCCCATCTCTCCCTTCCTCTCACCTTGGGGGGTCTATTCCTCGCTGCCCCCACAGTGCAGCCCCCAGGAGCCCCTGAGCCAGGGACCCCCTCAGGCCAGCCTGGGATCCGGCTCTGCTGCAGACTCCCCTCTCCCTAGGGTCCTCTCTCGGCTCCCCCGGCCTCAGGTGTGCCCCTAAGTTCGCGCACACAGTCCCAGGAGTGGGGGGTCACAGAGCCCCGGTCAGCCTGTGTCTGCAGTGGGGAGTGAGTTCCCGTGGGCCTGAGCCCCGAGGACAGGCAGGGGTGGGTGAGCGCTGACCCTGCCATGTCCCCCAGCCTGATCCCCAGGCTGTAGCTGCTCTGGGGGGGGCCTCAGACCTGCACAGGGGGGCTCACTGCCCCCCAGGAAGTTGCGGCCTCCAGGCTGACCTGCCCCAGTTCTTCGGCCTTTGTGGCACCTTGACTGACCCTTATTCCACCTTCCTTCCGTTCCAGCCCTCCCCTTCTCGCTCCTTCCTACCCCTCCCCTCCCCTCTCCTCCCCCCTCCCTTCCCCCACCCTCCTTCCTTCCCAGCTCTCTCCTCCCCCTCCTCCAGCTCCCCTCACCCCTCCGCCTCTCCCCTCTCCTTCCCTCTCCCCCCCTCACCCCTTCCCCTTTCTCTGTTGTTCTTGCAAATGGCCAGAGGGTCTCCTGTGTGTGTGTGTGTGTATGTGAGTGTGTATGCATGTGTGTGTGGGGGCCTCTGCCCCCAGCCGCTCCAGCCAGTTTCTCCCCTAGCTGCCTCCAGTCCCGTGAACCCTGTGATCAGATTCTCAGGGGGGTCCATCTGGCTGCACCCCCCCATCCCCACGAAGGGGGCACTTCAAGTGAAATGGCATGTGAGGCTGACCGGAAAGTTCCAGTGGCTGCAGATCTGGAGCACGACTCCGAACCAGTTCTTCAACTTGACTCTCTTACGCTTGGAGGACAGGCTGGAGGTCCAGCCCCAGAATTGTTCACTGAAACTGCTACATTCACGGCCCCAGGACAGTGGCCAGTACTGCCTAGAGGTGACCGACAAAAATGGGACAGTCCACAGGAGGACGGTGGCCGTCATGGTGGTGGGTGAGTTCCAGCAGCACCCGCACTTCCTGCTGGGGTCCAACCCCCGAGCCTCTGCTGTCCAGCCCTGAGTCCCTCTCCTTGCAGACCGAGTGAGGGAGCCCCAGCTGCAAGTCCAGGCTGTTGACCGGAACGCATCACGGTGCCATCTGGTTCTCAGCTGCTCCGTCCCAGGAGGCAACACTGTGAACCTCACGTGGTCCAGAGATAACTCACAGCTGCGCCGGGACCCCGGGCCCCACGCCCGCCTGCAGCTGAGGGTGGACGCCAACAACTCCCACGTCTATGCCTGCAACGCCAGCGACGCCTACAGCTGGGCCCAAAGCAACTTCTCCCTGAATCCCGGCTGTATGGGTGTGGGTGAGTGTGGGTGAGTGCATTTGTGTGTGGGTATGTGTGTGGGTGAGTGTGAGAATGTGTGTGTGTGTGTGTGCCTGTGGGGTGACTGTGAATATGGGTGAGTGTGTGTGAGTGTGAGTACGTGTGTTGAGCATGTGTGGTGGGTGTGGGTGGGTGTGGGTGTGAGTGTGTGAGTTCATGTGTGTGTGAGTGTGTGTGGTTGAGTGTGAGTGTTGTACGAGTACATATGTGTGGGGGGGGTGCGTGTGAGTACATGTATGTGAGCATGTGTGTGAGCGTGTGTGAGTGTGTGAGTACATGTTTGTGTGTGTGCGTGCGTGTTAATGCGGGTGTGAGTGTGTGAGAACATGGAGAACATGTGTGCGTGTGAGTACATGTGTGTACGCATGTGTGCGTGTGGGTGTGCATGTGTGCATGTGTGTGTGTGAGTACATGTGTGTGAGCGTGTGTGGGTGAGTGTGCGTGTGGGTGTGAGTACATGTGTGTGAGTGTGTGGGTGGGCATGTGTGCATGTGTGTGTGTGAGTACACGTGTGTGTGTGTGCGTGTGGGCTGGAGCCCCCGGCACTGACCTTGTTCCTTTCAGTGGCCGCCTTTGAGGACACACAGCGTGGCCTTCCCCTCTGGCTGGTGTACCTGGGGGTCCCCCTGGCCGTGCTGCTCCTGGGCGTCCTCTCCAGTGTCCTGCTGTGGAGGAGGAAGGGGAGGTGCCGCTCAGGTGAGGGGCCAGTGTCCGTGTGTTGGGGACGTGCTGGGCATTGGGAAGCACCGGGTGGTGGACACGGCACTGCATGTGGGGTCATCGGGATGGGGTCACCAGGACAGGGTCACCAGGACGGGGAACGAGTGCAGAATGAATGGGAAGTGGGGGGCCTGGTTCCCCCCATTCTGCCTGCTTTGCTCCCGCAAAAGGCTGACTTGGGGGGCTGCTTGCTGGGGGGCTGCCTGTGCCTCGGGGACCTGGGCGGGCGGCAGGGGAGAAGGGCCCCTGCAGCCTGAGCTCTGTCCTGCCCAGATGCCAAGGAGAGAAGTGGGGAGCAGAACCCGCCTCCACACGCCCATGCTCAGGTACGGGGGTCTGGGAGGGGCTGGGCGCGGGCCTGGGGTAGGGAGGGGTGGGGTGGGGTGCAGGGGGATGGGGTGGGGGCGGGGAGCAGGACCGCTGCCCGGGCACAGGCTGGCACAGGTGCGTGTGCCCTGGGCTGGCGTCACAAGCTGAGTGTGGCTTGGGACCGGTGAATCCTCAAGTTCTCTCCTCCTTGCGGCCCGGGTCTGTGCTCGGGTCAGGATCATCAAGGCCACACGTCTGGGCTGAGGGGAACCCACAGGGGACACAGTCCCACGAGCCCGCTGGGACAGAGGGTCTGCCGGTGGCCCCGGGGACTCCCACCTGGTCTCCGCTAGGACCCCCCCCCCGCCCCGCTGCCCACTGACCTGACCAGCCCCCTGGGGATCCCCCAACTCCGTGAGCTCGACCCACCGCAAACCCTTTCCTCCCTGGACCAGGAGCACAGTCCCTCCGAGGAAGGGAGCACCGTGTATTCCCAGGTCCAGAGCCGGAACCGGAACCGGAACCAGAACCAGAACCAGAATCAGGTGATTTCTTTTCTCTGCTCCCTGCCCAGACACCCTTGCTCCTGAAACTCGTGTCTGAGTGGAAGAGCAGGACCGGAGAGGGGGGGTCTGTCCCCAACCCTGACCCCGACCTTGGGCCTGGGGCTGACTCTGAGCCCACTGGGGCCTGAGGGTCACCTCAGGAGGGGGCTGGAGCGATGGCACAGCAGGGAGGGCGTTTGCCTGGCACGCGGCCAACCCAGGTTCGATCTCCGACATCTCACATTGTCCCCCGAGCACCACCAGGAGTAATTTCTGAGTGCAGAGCCAGAAGGAAGCCCTGTGCATCGCTGGGTGGGACCCAAAAATCAAAAACAAAAAGCAAAACAAAAATAAATAAATAAAACAGGGGGGCGGGCAAGGAAAGAAAGGATCTACCCCCAGCTGAGCCTCCCTGGAAGCCGAGGGAGGCAGGTCCAGGGAGGAAGGAGTGACCCCGCCCCCAGCCCTCCTGCCTGGTGTGGGTTCCAGCACACTGTCCCATCCCAGGCCTCCTTGTCTACACCGCAGGACAGTGACTTCACGACGCTTTATGCGCTGGTACAGCCTTCCCAGAAGGTGAGTCTGAGAGTGGGGGGCTGTCTGTGGGGCCAGAGCAGGCAACTTTGGCCGGCCTGAACCCCTGCACCCCTCACCCCTCTCCCACGGGATGGGGACCCCCTCGGATCCGGCCAGGGCTGATCCCCCGAAGCTGAGCCGACCTCGTCACTCTGATTCCAGGCCCCCCAGAGAAAGACTCCCGTGACGCCTCCCAGTTGCACCATTTACCAAGAGGTGAGTCTGGGGGGGGGCCACCGGGGCCAGAGCGAGCTCCTATTTGGGGTCTCGGCCACCTTCACTGCAGAGACGGGGGTGTGGGGTTACCCGAGCCAAGGTCTTGAGGGTTCAGCTGAGTTTTATTCATCCTCAACCGAGGTTATAACTGGGCCTCCTTTCCTGGGGGTGTGGGGTGCCAGGGGGCAGGGGCAGGGCCAGGGGGTCGACCCAGGGGGACCTGGGGAGGGGTGACCCCTGCTATACCCACTGGGCTGTGGGATGGACCATCTCACGCATGGGGTCCGAGGTGTCCAGCAGCCCCATGTGTGAACCCAGAGCTCAGCCGCGGAGCTGACGTGCTGAGCAGGGGTGTTGCACGGGGGTGCTCGGAGCCCAGGCTTCACCCCCACCCCCCCGTTATGCTGCTGCTTGGGGCCAGGCTGTGGAGGGCTCAAGCTGTCGGTCTTGGGGTTCCTGCAGTGTGGGGGTGGGGCAATGGGGGGTGCAAGCCTCAAGCTCCCTTCGTCTTCTGGCTTCACACTCTGCTCTCACCTGGGGCTTCACTTCCTGCGTGGTCAGCCCAAGGGGCAGAAGTTTCTGTGGGCGGGGGGGCTGAAGCGCCTCTTTCCTCCGCAGGTTGGGAGGGGGCAACCCCGAACCCAGAACCCCGCTCGGCTGAGCCGGAAGGAACTGCAGAACTTTGAAGTATACTGCTAGGCGCGGCCAGCCCTGCACCGAATGAAGTGAGGGGCTCAGAGGGAGCATTCAGGCGCCTTTCCTGCAGGGCTGGGGGGCTGGGGGTCTCCCACCCTCCCTGCAGGCTCCCCGGACCTCTGACCCGTACCTGGTCCCAGCAGATGGCTCATGGGGGGAGAGGGATGCCCACAGCCCCCCCAGAGCAGCTCTGTCGGATGTGGCGTTCGGCACCTGGGCAGGGAGGACAGGACATGGCGGCCGTCCAGCCCCCGCATCTGGGAGACTCTCCGGACCCTGGTGGGGGGTCTCTGCTTGGCCATGGCCCCCCGCTGTGCCGGGGCTGATGAGACTCATCGGTGTCGGCCTGCCACAGTGAGCCGTGGCCTCTACCCCCTCCCAATTTTGTTTTGTTTTGTATTTTTGGGTCCAACCCGGCGATGCTCAGGGCTGACTCCTGGCTCTGTGCTCAGGGATCCCTCCTGGTGGTGCTCAGGGGACCCTATGGGATGCCGGGGATCGAACCCGGGTCGGCCGCGTGCAAGGCAAACGCCCTCCCTGCTGTCCTATGGCTCCATCCCCCTCCCCCCAGTTTTAAATAAAGAAACGGAAATGTGGGACTGGGGTGTGTATCCGGCTCTGGTGCAAGGGTCCGAGATGAAGCCCTTGGCCACATTGGGCTGGACACCTGCTGGACCAGGCCCCTCCCTGAGTTCAAACTGCCAGAGGAAAAGCAAAATAATCCCAGGGACGAGCGCGATCGTGATCGAACCACGCTGGCCCTGCAGAATTCGATCCCCGACATCCCACAGGGTCCCCCGAGCCCACCAGTGCTGATCCCTGAGCACAGAGCCAGGAGTAAGCCCTGAGCACCACTGAGGTAATGCTCAGGGGTTCCTCCTGCCTCTGCACTCAGGAATTACTCCTGGCGGTGCTCGGGGGACCCTATGGGATGCTGGGAATCGAACCCGGGTCGGCCGCATGCAAGGCAAACATCCTACCCACTGTGCTATCTCTCCAGCCCCAGGTCTCGAAACTTCTGACCGCCCCTCCACCCCAGTCAAGCACCCAGGGAGCACACAGCAGTCTGTCTGTCTGTCTGTCTGCTTCCCACCAGCGACCACCCCCCGCCCCCCAAGGAAGCAGCACAGAAGGAGGGGCGAGGAGGGGGCTGGCAGGGGGCACCGGGAAGGGTCAGCTTGGGGCAGAGCCCTTCCTGCCCCAGGTCAGCCCCGAGGGACAGTGCCTGTGAGCTGTGGGCAGCGGGAAAGGCTGGGCAGAGAACTGGCAGGACCACCTCCCCCACCCCCCAGACCCTCAGTGCCCCTGCCGGCCAGGTGGGCAGCAGTCAGACGGTCCCTGTCCTGTCCCTGATCAGTCCTGGGTGGGGTCGGGCTGGGAGGGGCAGTGGCAGGGAGCCACGGGGGTCTGTCTCCCTCCCTCTCTCTCAGTCTCTTTCCCTCCCTCCCTCTCTCTCCCTCCCTCTTTCTCTCTTTCTTCCTCCCTTCCTCTCCCTCCCTCTCCCCCTCCCCCCTCCCTCCGTGTCGAGAAGGCACAGCCAATGCTCTGGTCTCCCCTCAGCTGGTGCTATGGAAACAGGATGGGGCTGGCTCCCACATGCACCGCAGCCCCTGTAGGCGGAATCAGCAGCCGTCTGGGGGTCAGAGCCCCCTTCCGCCGCCCCATCACCCCTGGCGCCCACGTGTGGGGAGCTCTCACAGCCTGTGGTCGCACTGTACATACCAGGCTGTGTGCTTGTATGTGCGTGAGAGTGTGTGCATGGATGAGTATACACGTGTGTACCTGCATGCGTGCGTGCGTGTAGGTACATGAGAGTGCGTGCATGAGTGTACACGTGTGTGCATGAATGAGTATACACATGTGTGCATGCACACGTGTGTGCATGTATGTGCATGAGAGTGTGTGCGTGAATGAGTACACATGCTTGTGCATGCATGAATACGTGCCTATATGCACATGAGTGTGTGCAAACTGATGGTGCATGTGTGTGCATGCATGAGTGTCGGCATGTATGTACATGAGAGTGCTCACACATCATATATGTGCAGATGTGAGTGGGGGGCCTCGTTCTTCCTCCTACCACCTATCCTGGGGGCCTGGGACAAAGGGAATATGGGACCCCCAGGGCTCCCTGCTTGTCTCTGTCCAGCCCTGGCCTGGGGGCCCTGAGTGCTGAGCCTGGGGGTGGGGGGCCGCCCGCAGGGCAGTCATCCCCCAAAGCTGTGGCCCTGAGCCCCAGGCTGCAGCTGGTGGTCTCTGCCCAAGGTGGGCATCCTGAAGGGGTGTCGGGGTCCTCTCCAGCCAGCCCGACTTGCAGGCCGAGGCTTGGGGGGCCTGGACTGGGAACTTCTCCTGCACCCGATGACATCCCCCGGGGCCTGGGCCCCGCCTCCTTGCCTCTTGGGGCAAACACCACTGGTTCTGACTCTGGGGCCGGCTGGGCTGGTCCCAAGAAGGGGATGCCCTGTCCAGCTCCCGCCGTGGCCCCCAACCAAGTCCCCCTCCCACTGTCCTCAGCCAGGGATCCCCCACTCCTGGGGATGGGACACCCCGAGTCTGCTCCACCCCACCCTCGAGGTTCACACTTTTCTCTCAGCCTCTCTCGGCAGGTGAGGTGTCACCTCTTGCCACCAATTTGTCATCTCTTTGCATGTGGCTTTCCCCTCAAGAACGGGTGGAAATAAGAGCTGGCGTGAGGGAGGCCAGCTCCCCGCCAAGATCAGCAACCCCCCAAAAACTGAGTGTTTCCTTAGACATGCTGCCCGTAGAGTGCTTTCCTGAATGCTTCTCCCCAGACACACGGACCCCCTTGTGGTGCTGGTGGGGGCTTGGGGATGAGGGTTGGCGTTGATCTCGGCGGACCTTGCAAGTGTCTGCCCAGACCCGCACCCCAGAGAGAGCAGAGAGAAGCCGAACATGCCTAGATTAGGACGTGGGGACCCCCGGGGTCGGAGGAAACATTGCACAAAAGAGCCACTGAAAATCCTCCAGCCCAGGCAAAAGGAGGTACTGGGAGCAGCTGGGAGTCCCCCGGAACACATGGCCTCCACAGGGTCCTTGACACAGAACCTCCATGGTGAGATCACTGCATCTGAGGATGCAGATCGGGAAACTGACGACCCCAAGAGGACGCTCATCAGTGCATGCATGGGACAGCTGCCAAGAGTCGGGGCCAGGAAGCTCCTCAGGAAGGCTGGGTTGGGGGTCCGCCCTTCTCGAGCTGGAATCCACCTCTTCTCCCAGGAGACTAAATTAGAGGGTCTCCTGGGAGCACCGGGGGGCGCTCAGGGAGGTGTGGGGCCCGAGCTCTCTGCACCGTGGTGGGGGTCCCGTCCCTGCTAGGGGCCATCATTGCCTTGCCTGGGTGGGAACGGGAACCCCAGCCTCAGAGCCGACCATTGTATCAATGTGATGTTTAACGACTTTTTTTTCTGAAAGTGGTAAAACAAATATGGGATCACATATCTACAAGGGTACCTGGTGGCACTGGTCCATCACCTCCGGGCTCCCCGGGACTGGGGATTGCTGCTCAGAGAATCTCCCCATTCCCGGCCCCCAAGGTCTTCTCCAGACTCAGTTTCCCCTCTGAGCTGCTCCTCGCCTTGGCCACACAGCCTCAGTGTCCTGGGGCCAGGATGTCTTCTCTGCCCTCTCCCCCCCCCACGCACTGCGCCCTTAGGGGTCCCCACTGCTGGATTGAAGGGTGAGGGGTGGGCAGCCCTGAGGGCTCTCAGTTCCCTGGAGAACCCGGGTCTGGCCAGTGGGGGCCCTCTGCGGCCTCTGCTCTTGCGGACCCCCATCTCCAGGAGGGGCGTCCTGGGTTGTCCCGGTGTCCCCGTGGGGATAGGACACTGAGTCCGGATGACAGCGCTAAGCAGAGGCTCCGGGAGGCCTGGGGGAGCCCAGAGCTGGTTCTCGGGGTGCGGTGGGCTGGGCACACGCATTGCTTAGATGACTTCATCATAGATGACCGGCCTGGGTGCTTCCGGGTTCTTGGGCAGTGAGGGGGCTTTGTCCTTCTGGGGAGACAGGATGGGTCGGAAGGTTACGGGGCAGGGGCCAGGTCACACCCCCAAGGCACCCCCGATTCATGGGCACTCCTCAGGCCCTCAGGCCCCACCCAAGGCTGTTCAGGGTCACCCACACCCGCATCCCAAAGCTCGCCCTCATTCATCTGCAGGGGGCTCCAGAACTTTCCTCCCTTCCACTGCCTTCCGCTCCAGCTTCTGGAGCCTTCCTACTGTCCATCCCCCTCTACCCCGGTTTCTGGAACCTTTTTTCTTTCCATTACCCTCCACCCCAGCTTCTGGAACCTTCATTACATCTGTTACCCTCTGCCCCAGCTTCTGGAACCTTCCTTTCTCCAGTGGGTCACCCGCACCCCCAGTGAAGACAATGGGGACCTCTGGAACAGCTTTGCCAGCCAGGGAGAAACTGAGTCCCCTGCCCAGTCCAAGGAAGGAAAGTGGAGCTTGAGGTGGGAAAAGGCCCTTGGGGGCGCACAGGGGGTCCCCCAAACACGCACCTTCTGGGGGACCTGCACCGTCGAGTACAGCGTGTTCACGGGAGTGACCGGGACATGCAGAACGCAGTCGTACTCTGCTGACTCCCTGTTGTGAGAGAGAGTCTCCCTCTTCTCGCCAGCGGGCTCTGGAACCGGTGGGGAAGGTCAGCGCGGGCTCCCCCTACCCCAGCAGCTGTCCCAGGCGAAGTGGGCGTGTCCCCAGGCGCTAAGAAGTGGGCGTGTCCCCAGGCGCTAAGAAGTGGGCGTGTCTCCCAGGACCTCCAGAAAGTAGGCGTGTCCCCAGGAGCTAAGAAGTGGGCGTGTCCCCAGGAGCTAAGAAGTGGGCGTGTCTCCCAGGACCTCCAGAAAGTAGGCGTGTCCCCAGGAGCTAAGAAGTGGGCGTGTCCCCAGGAGCTAAGAAGTGGGCGTGTCTCCCAGGAGCTAAGAAGTGGGCGTGTCCCCAGGAGCTAAGAAGTGGGCGTGTCTCCCAGCACCTCCAGAAAGTAGGCGTGTCCCCAGGAGCTAAGAAGTGGGCGTGTCTCCCAGGACATCCAGGAAGTAGGCGTGTCCCCAGGAGCTAAGAAGTGGGCGTGTCTCCCAGGAGCTAAGAAGTGGGCGTGTCTCCCTGAACCTCCAAGAAGTGGGCTTGTCTCCAAGGCACTAAGAAGTGGGCGTGTCTCCCAGGAATTCCAGGAAGTGGGTGTGGGGAGGTTCCTGCTGGGGCAGCCGCTCCCCTCCCACCCCGCACTCAGCAAAAGGGAAAGGGCACCAGGGCTGCCCAGCGGCCAAAGCGGTCTCAGGGGTCTCAGGCTGGGGGCCCTGGAGGTGGTCTTTGTGTAAGGAAACCCAGCAGCCCGGGGTCCCAAGCGCCACCGGGAGTCCTGAGTCCTGCCCCCAAACTAAAGCAGCTGCACCAAGGCTGGAGCAGATCTGGGCTCCCGGGAGGCGTGAGGACCCCTGGGGGCCTGGCAGAGGAGGGGCTGGCGTTAGCTTCCCCCGTGCTCTGCCTGCAGGGGCCCTAAAGCACACGGTGGCCTCGAAGCTGCCCCCCTCCCCGTCCCACTGGCCTCTTGGACACGCGGCCAAGGCAAGAGAGAGAAGCAGCTTCACCTCCAGACTTCCGTCTCTGCAGATGCAGAACCACTGCGATCACAGCCACACAGGCCAGGAGCACTGTCAGGGGGAGCAACAGTGCCAGGAGAAAGTTGGCTTGGCCATCAGGCTCTGGAAGGAGAGAAGGGGCCGGGGTTCGAGGCCTGCTGTCTTCCTGTGTCCACCCTCTCCCCCGGAGACAGCTCAGGGCTGAGCACAGCATTTCCATCCCCTGAGCACTGGTAGCAAAGTCGGGTCAGGCCTCCCCGCCCTGGGCCCCTCTTGCCAACCCACCTCCCAAGAATAATCACAGTGCTGTTGTTCTGGGGCTGGAGCGATAGCACAGCGGGGAGGGCTTTTGCTTTGCACACGGCCGACCCAGGTTCGATTCCCAGCCTCCCATAGGGTCCCCCGAGCACCACCGGGAGTAATTCCTGAGTGCAGAGCCAGGAGGAACCCCGGAGCATCTCCGGATGTGACCCAAAGAGCAAAAAAAGGAAATAAAATATAAAAAAATAGTGAAGTTCGTAGGTTGCTGTTCCGGCACTAAGAGTTGGGCCGGCACCAATAGTACTGGCAAAGGAAACAGCCTCGGCGATGCAGGAGCCTGGCAGAGCAGAGAGAGGAGCAGAGGAGTCTCCGACAGGGTCGCCCGCTGGCACCTTCCTCACCTTCACAGAGCTCCCTGGCAGACACCGGGTGAGAGCTGTTCCTGCTCACAGGGTTCCTGGCCGTGCAGACGAAATGTTGGTCACTGCTGCCTGGCCTCCAGGTGATGGTGGGGAGGGCAGGGCCTTCCCAGCTCCCATTGGCCAACTCCCAGCTGTACGTCACCGCAGTTTCCTGTAGCACCGAGCACGTCAGGTTGGCCAGGCAGGTCCCATTCTCCGTGTGCCACTTGGTCTTGCTCACGATGGGCCTGGGCAGGGGTTCTGGGGGCAGAGGGAGACGCGGAGTGGAGCAGCCCTCAGGCCCTCCCAAGGGACCCAGAAGGGCTGAGTCTCCAGGCTGTTGTGAGTGGGCACAGCTGGTAGAGCTCAGAGCTGTGCTAAGAGTGAACCCCAAGCAGAGAGCTGGGAGTGACTCTGAGCACAGAGCTACGAGTCAGCCTTGAGCACAGAGCCAGGAATGAGCCCTGAGCACAGAGACAGGAGTGAGCCCTGAGCACAGAACCAAGCGTGAGCTCTGAGCATAGAACCAGAAGTCAGCCCTGAGCACAGAACCAGGAGTGAGCCCTGAGCACAGAACCAGGAGTGAGCCCTGAGCACAGAACCAGGAGTGAGCCCTGAGCACCGAGACAGGAGTCAGCTCTGAGCATAGAACCAAGATTGAGTCCTGAGCACAGACAAGAGTCAGTTCTGAGCACAGAAACAGGAGTGAGTCCTGAGCTCAGAGCCAGGAGTCAGCCTTGAGCACAGAGCCGGGAGTCAGCCTTGAGCACAGAGCCAGGAGTCAGACCTGAGCACAGAGACAGAAGTGATCCCCGAACACAGAGTCGGGAGTCAGCCCTGAGCACAGAGTGAGAAGTGACCCTGACTCAAAGCCCTGATTCCCGAACCCACTTCCTCACTCGTCAGTTAGGGGCACGTCTCCACCCACTAGGCTCTCCACGCCTGGAAGTTCTTGCCCTCCCGTTACAGACGTGGGGACAGAGACCAAAGTGAGTCCTGACTCGGTGGCGGCCAGGCGCTCTGTCCCGGGCTCTGTGACCAGCCCCTTCCGGACTGCATGGCCCCTGCCCCTCTGCACGCACTGGCCTCAGGTGCCCAACGCCCAGAGGGTCCTGCTCACCGTAGACACGCAGCACGTACTCTTGCAGGAGAGGCTGTGACTGCTCAGAGCTGTGCAGCTCCACCCGGTAGGTGCCCGCGTCCGCCAGCTCCAGCCGGCTCAGGCGCAGGGAGTAGTTCCGGGGCACCAGATCCAGCCGGGGTCGCTTCAGCTGCGGGCCCACGATGACCTGCCTGTGGGTGGTGTTCTGCTGGAGGCTGGAGAGGAACGTGGTGTTGAAGGTCCAGACCACCAAGTCTACTTGCTGCAGCGCGTGGCATAGGGGGAAGGTCACCGCATGCCCCACGGCGCCCACCAGGTCCTTCTGGGTGCAGGCGGCCGACACTGTGGATACAGAGAAGGGGTCTCAACTGCCCGCCCACGCCTGAGCCGGCAGCAGAGCCCCGGCCAGTGTGGGGGTGCCTGGACACTTCTCACACAGAGCTCAGGGTCCCACGCGTGGCAGGAATCGGTCTGGATTGCCACAGCCTTGCTCTGCCCCCAGGTGTGGCTGGTGCTGATGTTGGGGCCACAGAGATGCCACTGCTTGCAAAGCCTAATACTCCGGACGCAAAGCGAAAACCTAGATTCGTGGAAGGCTGCCCTGCGCAGGGCATGTCAAGCACACTCAAGGCCTGAGGGGTCTGGGGGCTGGAGCGATAGCACAGCAGGGAGGGCATTAGCCTTGCCTGAGGCCGACCCGGGTTCGATTCCCAGCATCCCGTAGGGTCCGCCTAGCACCACCAGGAGTGATTCCTGAGTGCATGAGCCAGGAGGAACCCCTGGGTATCGCTGGGTGTGATTAAAAAAAAAAAAAACAGACCGCGGGACATCTTATCAGGCCATCCTTTTATGACATCTTATTATCTCAGTCCTACTTTGGACAAACTGGCAGGCTATCGAATGTAGCCTGCCCACAGGGCAGAGTCTGGCAAACTCCCCGTGGCGTACCCAATATGCCAAATACCAGTAACAATGATGGGTCTCATTCTCCTAAAGAGCCTTGAATATAATCTCAGGGCTAGGATGAAGGAGACGTTACTGGGGCCTGCTCGAGGCAATCGACGAATAACAGGATGTCAATGAATGAATGAGGGGTCAGCCCAAGACCTACGACACCCCCACCCAGATCCCTTTCATGTCCTTTAGTGTTCCCCAGCAAACATCGGCTTATGCCATCGATGGACTGGCCCGGAGCCAAGATTCTTCTCAGTTCAGCGCTGAGTTTGCTGTATCCTGCTCAGCCCCAGCAAGCAGCCAGAGATTAGAGTCGAGGGAAAGGCACGGTCGATCTCTCCCGCTTCACTCTCCTGCTTTGGGGTCACCACCCCCTGGATCACCACCTTTCCAGCGACTGCCCAGGTGGCAGGTGGACCCGGCAACAGCACGGGGTTGTGGTGAAATAAGAGTGGAAACTGCACCCCCCCGACCCCGTCTCCGGACATCCCGGAACTCAGGGCCTCTTGGGGAAATTTCACTTTGCTTGAGGTCTGGGGCGGGCTGTGTGCGGGGGTGTGAACTCCCCAAAGTGTGATTTTAGGGGGTGAGACTTCTCTGGCTTCTCGCCTTTTTTTTTCCTTTTGTGGTTTGAGCGAGTTAGCCCTGAGCACAGAGTCCGGAGTCAGCCCTGAGCACAGAGTCAGGAGTCAGCCCTGAGCACAGAACCGGGAGTGACCCCAAAACCCTCCCATCCACCCCGCCCCCAGGATCGAGGCCAGTTCAGGAGGCATGAGCATCCCCCCTAGAAGAAACCCTGATTGTCTCTGAGCTGGCACGGTGCCCGGCTTTGGTTCCAGGGAGAGGCCCCAGGGTGGGTCCTCCAGCTTGTCCTGTGCCCCAGGGCTGTGGGAGCAGCAGGGGTCTGGGTAAGGGTAGACAGGGCCCAGGGCTGAACCTTTGGTTCTGGTGAAAAAAGAAACTGCAATTTAAAAAAAAGAAAGTGAGGGGCTGGAGCCATGGCATAGCCTGGAGGGTGTTTGCTTTGCATGTGACCAACCTGGGTTCCATGGTCCTGGTCCTGGTCCCAATGTCTATAAGGTCCCTCGAGCAATGCTGGGAATAATTCCTGAGTGCAGAGCCAGGAGTGACCCCTGAGCATCACCAGGTGTGACCCCCCCCAAAAAAAAAAAAAACAATACAATAAAAAAGAAAGAAAGAGAAAGTGAGATGTCAGTTTAGAGAGAGTTCCTGACTCCCCTCACTTCCTGTCCCCATCATCGCTTTCCAAAACTGGGCCCACCAGCCTGATCAGGGGATGGTCAGCCCCGGGAGTAGATGGACTCGCACCCAGCCCCTCTGCTCTGCCCTCACCCAGTAGGAGTTTGCCCGAGAACTTGTGCAGAGGACCCCAAGGGCACGCAGCCGGAGGTACACCCCAAATTCACCCGTGCTGCTGCTGGGAACAGACCACATCTCCTTGACCCCACAGGGGTTTTAAAAGAAGAGGTGGGAGGGGCCGTTTTCTCTGATTGGCTCGGGAAGCCCAGGAGGGCATTCCCCAGAAGAGCAGAGCCCAACCTTGGGGGGCCTAAAATCACAACCCCAGACCTCACGCCCCGTCACAGTGGTAATATCGAAGGAAGTGAGGATGGGGGACCAGAGTCAGGTGCTGGGGTGATTGGTTCGAGCTTTTCCCATTACCTTGTCCTGATTCTTCCCCTGCAGGCCAGAACGAGCAGGGACACTTGCTTGTACCCTGGGACCTTCCACAGACGGTCTACACCTATGCTGGGAACAGCGCCTCTTCAAAGTCCAAAAGGCCAAACAATTTTTGTTTGCTTGTTTGGGGACCACACCCGGAGGTGCTCAGGGTGTCCTCCTGGCTCTGTGTTCAGGAATTTCTCCCGGTGGTGCTCAGGGGACCCTATGGGGTTCTGGGGATCACCAGTATGCAAGGCAAGTGCCTATCCCACCATACTATGCCCGACCCCTGGGGAAAACATTTGGGATGGGGGACTGGAGCGATAGCACAGCGGGGAGGGCGTTTGCCTTGCACATGGTCGACCCGAGTTCGATTCCCAGCATCCCATAGTGTCCCCCGAGCACTCCTTCTGAGTGCGTGAGCCAGAAGGATCCCTTGTGCATCGCTGGGTGTGACCCAAAAAGAAAAAAAAAGAAAGACAACCATTTGGATGAAACTCGGGGAACACAAAAACAAAAATAAAAAAAAGACAAAAAATATAGTCGAGGGGGTATGGTGCCACCAGCAGGTTAGTGTGTACCTGTGAGGCAAGCCTGATGGCGCCTTCAGACTTCCAGATACCCCAAAATTGCTGCTGTGCCTTTCGCCAGACCCCCAAAACTTGGGGCAAAGTTTACCACGAAAGTAAACGGCCAAAAGTTAGGTATGTGGAAGACACACCCACAAACCACCTCTGGCTCAGCTATATAATTGGAGGCCTGGCCTCTCTGGTTCCTGATTGAACTGCTTAATGGCCATGATCCCAGAGACTCAGAAACGAATCTCAGATCCCAAAGGCACTTTTGGCAGAAATGAGTCCTGTTCCTGCAAGAGGTTACTGGCGCTGGGCCACTCCAGGTGGGAATAGGTTTCGTGCCTTGGCCTGTTCCTCCTGGTGAACCAGTGACCGCCATCCTCCAGAGACAACTGGACAATTAGGTTTGGTGCAGTGACAAGACACGCGGGACTTCACCAGATGGGAGTGGAACCGGCCCTTCCTCCCCAACCCAAAGAGACCCCAAGTTGCCGCCTACAAACGGCCTCCCTGGCTCCTGATTAAGCTGATTAATAGCCATGATCCCAGAGACTCAGAAACAAATCTAAAAACCCAGCGACTTTTGGCAGAAATGCATCTGGACCACATACAAGGTGGCCGCCACCTCAGAGCTTATTGGAAAGCCAGGTATGAGTCAGCAGTGATGGGGCAACTGCAGTCTCATGGGAAGGGGGACGGTACCGGTTCGTCCTTCACGCACTACCGAGGTCACAAGTTGCCCCCCACAAGTGGCTCTACGGCACAGCCATAACACCAGACACACAGAAACCAATCTCGTAATGATCTGGCTTTTTGCAGAAATCCAAAATCATGATAGGATTCTCATAACCAGCTATAGAAAACAAAGTATTTCACAATGCCTTTTCGGCAGTTCTGATTGTTGGGGGGGAATTCTAAACAATAATGGTGAATTTTTTTTGTCAAAATAATGAATATAATCAATGTAGAGAAAAGTTAAGTAGAAATCATCTGCCTCACAGGCATTGGGAGGGGAGGGAGGGGGGTATATTGGGGTTCTTGGTGGTGAAAAATGAGTACTGGTGAAGGGAAAGATGTTTGATCATTGTATGAGGAAGACTTTAACCTGAAAACTTTGTAACTTTTTCCACAGTGATTCAATAAATAAATATAAGAAAAAAAAAGAAATAAAAACTTTTTTAAAAAAGTATATGAAAGTGACATCTGCACTTGTTCGTTCATTGCAGCTCTCTTTGCAATAGCCAGAATCTGGAAAAAACCTGAGTGCCGGAGAACAGACGACTGGTTACAGAAACTTTGTTACATCTACACAATTAATACTATGTAGCTATTAGTAAAGAGGAAGTCATGAAATTTTCATACAAGTGGTACTACATGAAAAGTATCATGCTAAGCGAGATGAGTCAGAAAGAGAGGGACAGACATAGAAAAATTGTATTCATTTAGGGAACATAAAGTAATAAAATAGGAGACTGACATCAAGATTAGCCAGACAAGTACCAGGAGGTTCACTCCATGGCTTAGAGGCCAGCCACACATGCTGGAGGAAAAGCGAGCTCAGATAGAGAAGGGAGCACCAAACAAAGGGTGTTGGGAGGATCCTCCCAGGATGGGAAAAGCATGCTGAAAGTAGATTATAGAACAAATATGATTGCCACTCAATGCCTCTTTTGCAAACCACAACACCCAGAAGGAGAGAACAAAAGGGAAGCCCTACCACAGAGGCAGGGTGGGATGGGGGATGGGGGGTGGGAGGGATACTGGGACCCGTGTTGGTGGAAAATGGACACTGGTGGAGGGATGGGTATTTGATCATTGTATAATTGAAACCCAAGCACAAAAATTTGTAAGTCTACAACTGTACCTCATGGTGTCTCACTAATAAAAATTTTTTTAAAAATGTTAGGTATGTGGGAGACACACGAACAAACCACCCCAGGCTCAGCTATATAATTGGAGGCATGGCCTCTCTGGTTCCTGATTGAACTGCATAATGGCCATGATTCCAGAGATCAGAAACAAATCTTAAAACCCAGCGGCTTTTGGCAGAAATGTGTCTGACCACGCAGTAGGTTACTGTCACCAGGCCACCCCAGGGGGGAAAGGGTGTTGTCCCTCTGCCTGTTCCCCTAGGCGGCTCAGTGGCCACCATCCTCCAGAGGCCACTGGACAGTCAGATTCGGGCCCTCAGTGATGAGACACATGGGGCCTCGTGGGATGGGGGTGGAGCTGACCCTTTCCTCCCCGTCCCAACAAGACCCCAAGTCGCCGCCCATGAACGGCCTTTCTGGTTCCTGATCAAGCTGCTTAACGACCGTGATCTCAGAGACTCAGGAGTAAATCTCAGAACCCAGCAGGTTTTGGCAGAAATACCTCCAGATTTAAGTGTCAAAATTTTGAAATTTCAAAATCACATGGCCACTACTGTAGCCACGCGACATCATATGTTATTCATAACCAGCAATAGAAAACAAATGGTCTACAGTTGCCTTTTCAGCAGATCTGAGTGTTGGGGTAAAATCTCAAACAATAATGGTGGGTCTGGTGTCGAAATATCGAATGTGATCAAAGTAGAGAGAGAGTAATGTGGAAATCATCTGCCCCGCAGGTAGGGGGAGGGTGTGGGATGGGGGGATACTGGGGTTGTTGGGGGTGGAGAATGGGCACTGGTGAAGGGGCGGGTGTTTCATTGAATGACCGCGACTTAGACCCGAAAGCTTTGTAACTGCTCTCACGGTGATTCAATAAATAAAGTTATAAAAAATGAAAAAAAAATCCACGAGGTGACTTTCAGCTCCATCTGAGGAAACTGAGGCACAGGGTTTGGTAACTTGTCTAAGATCACTCGGTTAGTGATTTTAAAATAATTCAGGAGCTAACGCAGCAGTTGGGCGCTTGTCTTGCCTATGGCCCGCCCGGGTTTAATCCCTGACATCCCAAGAGGTCCCAGGAGTAATTAGACTATCAGGGAAAAAATGGTGGCAGAAAGGAGGAGTTGGAGAGATGGTCCAGTGGGTCAGAGGCCCTTGCCTGGCACGAGGCCGACCTCGTTTGATTCTCCCCGGCATCCCATATGGTCCCCCGAACACGGCCAGGAATGATCCTTAAGCATCCTCAGATGTGGCCCAAAACAAACAAAAGAGAGCGGAGTGAGTTGAGGGGTTCTCTCCAAATTTTACACTTTCCTTTTATTTTCTTTTTGTGTCACACGCGGCGATGCTAGGGGTTCCTCCTGGCTCTGCACTCAGGAATTACTCCTGGTGGTGCTCGGGGGACCCTATGGGATACCAGGAATCAAACCCGGGTCGGCCGCGTGCAAGGCAAATGCCCTCCCCGCTGTGCTATCGCTCCAGTCCCAAATTTTACATTTTCTTAATGTGATCCTTGCTGTGTCGCTGTTTCAGGGCTGTACTCTGCCCTCCTGTCCCTTTAGATGCCTTTTTTTTTTTGCTTTTTGGGTCCCTCCCGGTGATGCCCAGGGGTTCCTCCTGCCTCTGTACTCAGGAATCACTCCTAGCGGTGCTCGGGGGACCCTATGGGATGCCGAGATTGAACTTAAGTTGGCTGCATGCAAGGCCAACACCCTCTCCACTTTGAGATTGCCTTGGGCATCTTTTTGTTGAGGTTCCATTGGCTCCAAACATTGGCCAGCTTTGGGGGCAGAAGCCACGACGGGTGTCCCTAAAAGTCTGCAGCTCACATGCTTCTCCCAGCGGTCAAGCCCTGTGACACCCCCCCCCCCCAACCTGCCCCTGTCTGCTTGGATCTTAGTTTCATTTTCTTCTTTCTGTCACTTGTCCTGCCATACTGTCATTCCACTGGATTGCATTTTTCTTCTTATTTTCTCCATATCATCATAGTCATATTTTTTCTCCCCGTCATGTGACGGTGTTAAGGGGTGCTGTTCCCTACCCATTGGCCACTGCATGGGTCCCTCGGGTGCGGGGCTCGGGAAGCAGGTGGGGGAGGGGTTTGTTCTGAATTTCTGTTCTTCCTCCT